ACAAAAATAAATCCCCTGTCTGTAAGTTTATTGTCACAGGTTAGCCACTGGTTATGATGGTTGACTGGGAACACAGGCTACTTGATTTGTGTACTTTAAAACCTCTTGTTTTCTTAAACACATCAGGTGATGCGAGGAAGCCCGTGATTTATTTATTAGGGTTTAATTTGTCTACCTTGATAGTAGTAGACTAGATCAAAACAACCGGTTTGCAGCCTGTAGCTATGTGTCACGGTTTGTACCTGACTGAGCCTGATGTTAGCAGTGAGGGGAACTTCACACTTACACAGGGCTGTAAGAGCACTTCAGCGTGGCAACGGGACGGCTACCATTTCCCCCCAACAACCAGAATGACTCGTAACTTATTGGTAAAGAGGAACTCACCGATTAAAATAGATAAAATGAGTCGAACCGCTGGCTCCGGTGAACCTAAGGACTCCGACAGACTCTCCAGCAAGGGAGCCGCCATCTTTCTTGTGGGCGGAAACGTTCCTCGCAACGATTCAGTGAACTCTACTGACTCACGGGCGGAATCATCCACACATGTACATTCCGCTTTTTAAAGCCCCTTCGCGGTCACCTCCTTCAAAGCGAGACGGTGTGGTCCTCCTCCCACCTGTCCTCCAATCATGCGCACTCATCATCCCTTTTCGGCACACTTTTATGAGCTGTTGCTTTACCAGGAAGGCGATAAATAGACTGATAAAATAAGCTTTCTGCAGAAGACTGCTGCAAGTATAACAAACCTAGTTAACTAGTACAGGATTCGCTTTTAGAGATTAACTCTTTAAGCCATACAGACGTGACCGTGGTGTAAGAGTGCCCCCGTGTGGTAACCTTTTGGAATACCAATCCTTGTTCATAAATATTTTAAACATTTGTAGTTAGGAGTCTCACTTGATGATGACTATGTCAATGTCAATCAGAATAAATATGGAAGAAAGTTGTTAAGTTGTTGGAGTCAACTTTGTGATATTTTTTAATTGTTTTTATTAATCTTGTAGTCATCGGTTGTTAAAAGGCAACGAGGTGACTGCCGAGAAATGCATGTCTGTCGAGGGTTGCATGCATCTTCGCAGGACAATTAAAAAAAAAATGGCAGACACAATATCTACACTGGTGAATTTTGAATCTACCCTTAAATTTACTCCACTTACACTTAAGAGTCAAATGTAACCTGTGTGTAAAGGGTGTGTTCTGCGTTGTGTGCAGAAATACATCAGGAGACAGCTCTTGGATTCTGGTTCTCTGTATTCAACAAATAAAAGCACATATCAGTCCTGTGTGTGTGTGTGTGTGTGTGTGTGTGTGTGTGTGTGTGTGTGTGTGTGTGTGTGTGTGTGTTGTCAGAGTCGAGCATCTCCCCTCTCGGCTCTCCTCTTTGTTTACATTCACACATGAAACATTCATTCAAAAATAATGTGATAAAATCAACAGCACTTCAAAATAAACACAATTGTTAAAAAACTATATTATCCAAAATAAAGTTAAAATAAATAGATGCATAATAAATACAACGTAAAAAAAAATATTTAGTAAACTAACCCAAATAAACTATACAATAAGACATAAAATCAACAATAATATGGAGCCAGAAAAATCCCTTACATTTAGCATTTATGTACAGTATATAAATTCACATTGGTAGCTTTAATATTTACATATATTAATGAGACACACAAAAAAACCTCTCCATACCTGTATTCAACAGATAAAAGCACATATCAGTCCTGTGTGTGTGTGTGTGTGTGTGTGTGTGTGTGTGTGTGTGTTGTCAGAGTCGAGCATCTCCCCTGACTAAAGACAAATGCATCATTATGGAGAGACACTAATTTATCACTGTACATTAGCTGTTAACATTTACGACGAAACTAATTAATAACTTTATGTACAATACTCAAAACGTTGCAAAACTGATACAGAATAAAACAATTATGATCATAAACCGAACACCACAGTTTGATTACATGTAAACTATTAAAAAAAAATACTTTTAATTGAATTTATCGAAGGAGCATTGATCACCATAAACTTACAAACCAAAGTTGTATCTGCTCTGGCCAGAGCACGCACATACCTACGTCATTACGCACAGACACACACACAGACACCAAAATAAACAAGCAGGAGAACAATGGAAAACAATTAGATTTAAAATGAAAAATCAGTGTTTTGGGAAAATTCATACGTCGTCAATAACGACCTGTTACATTCACCCCTCCTGCAATTCAACAAAACCATTTACCCGAGATTAACTTAAGCACCAATAAGTTATGATAACACCGAGTATATCTGGCACACTGGACCATCCAACACACAGGTCGATTAAGAATCTATCTTTTAAATAGATCAAAATGAGACAACACCCATGTAGGGAATGTTTTCTATTAATTTCAACACAGTTTGGGGGCTTCTCATTAAGAGAAACCTACTGGACAATTATAAAAGAGCGTAATTCCTACTGACTGTAAGCCACAGGGGTAATACTAGTACCCCACAAAGGTATACTTTTACCATGGTGTGATTTTGTCATTACGCGACTTAAAACATATATAATGTTATCGTTATATTTCTAGGGTAAATTTCATCTAGACGTTTTCAAACTTTAACTTTAGTGGTAAAGTATGACATTTATGTGTTCGCAGTGCATGCTGGGTACGAAGAGCAAGCTTTACCATCCTCCAATTAGAAACCTCCTATCGAGATCTGAAACCAGAAGGGCGGGACTTGTATTATCTCAGCCAATCAAACGATCAATGCTCATAGCTTTGCCATTTCTGCCACAAATCAAGCTCGTACTCCATAAAGAAATATATATTTCAGTAGATATCGATATTAGCGATACTGAATATAAGATGTTTTGTTTGTAGTTGTAGTAGCCATTATTGGAGTGTAAGGTTTTTGTTGAATACATTTATACTAGTTTATATTGTAAATATTTCAGCTAACTTAAATGTAGGCCTGTAATTCTAACAACATTAGGGTTACAGCTTATTTCAAGTTTATGTTGAAGTAAAATATTATTAAATTTAGATTCTTGTGACAAAAATAATAAAACACAAAAAAGTATTGATGTAATAGGATCATAATGAAAACACTTACAGTCAACATTTTTGTAGCAATGGTCTGACTATTTTGAAAGTGTAGTAGTTGTTCATGTAAAACCATAACCATTGAAACTAAATATATCCACCATGTTGACCTTAGAAGTTGAACTCTAGGATGGAACAGGAAGTTGCCTCTGCCATGTGGAAAATATGAAAAAGCAAAATTTGTGTGATGGGTTTATAAAACTTAGGACAGTATTTCGCAGCATGTTTCATTTAAATGTGGAGAACTGAAGCAATGTCCAGACATATAGACAGAAAATCCATACACCTCAAATCAATGTCCATATAATACAGTGAGCAAGTCAGACATCTTGGCACTATTTTGGGTTCCAACCTTTGCTTTGAACAGCCTTCTTCCATTTAAAGAACATATGAAAACTCTAATCATTCATATCCCAAACTGATGCAGAGAAATTAGTCCATGCATTAATTTAAAAAATTTGACCCTGGCCATAAAACAAAACTCCATTTGCTCCCTGTTCAATCCAGAATCACTTTGAAAATCCAATATATTATTAGTCCATAAGGCATTCAATGGTTCAGTATATTTGTGAACTCACAGACTACAACCCAACCCAGGACCTCAGGTCATCAAGTAAAGGTCTTCCCAGAATAAGACTGAAGGCTGTAGAGGGGGCCTTTACTGTGGTCCTTTTCTCTGGAACAAGCTACTTGCTATAAAACAAATATTTAAATCCCATTATTCTGTGATAAATTTATAGTTATAACATAATAATATTGTGTTATAACGTGATAAGCTTTATAGTATATAACTTATTTGTTGTAACATTAAAATGTTTCACCCAACTTGATAACTGTAAAGTGTTATAATAGCACAATACATATCATGTTATAACATAGTTGTATTGTCATAACATAAAATGTATCATGTTATAACATGATCATTTTATTGTTATAACAGAAAACTAATTTTTGATAATTGATGAACATGGCTCATTTACTGGATTGTGTTTAATAGTATTTCATGCTTGGGTTGAGACATAGTGAGATTCTGCTGTTATTTAGCACTGGATGATATTGTGACAGGTTTGCATACACTTACAAGGTTTTTAAAATAAATGTTAACATATAGGTCTACATGGGGCTGTAGCAAAGGAAGACTGAGTCTAACCTTCCAGAGGATTTCTTTTGTTTTGAAACTATTTTCAACACTGGCCATGGACGTATTTCATATGTCTTGTAAACTGTAAACTGCTCACTGGGATGAGATAACACAAAATAAGGACCAGGTTATATGTACGGAACTAGGTGATTTGCTTAACACCAAGGGATCCAGACATCTTAACAAATGTCGCATTGTACTTAAGGTGACAGCATACCAAGCTGAGATGGTGTAGTGTGGCCATCCGGCTGATCAATGAGAAACAATGCAACCTCATTCTTCTTTCTGTACAGCCCCATGTATGGAAAAAAAAATCTTCTATTTTCCTTCCACACAACTTTCTGCAAGGGTTTTAGATTTAAACAATAGGTCTTTTAGTCATTATGTTATAAAATTATTACATTTTAAAAGTCATGACATCATAACATGGTATGTTACCATAGGCTGTAAGTGATCACGTTATAGCATAGAATCATCTTGATATAAGATAAATCTTATCACATTGTGACGTTGCATCCTTATTCTTAAATTCATGTGTGGCAGCAATACGCTTCCGTAGTTTTGCCTCGGGCCCAGCTCAAACAGATTAATCCATGGTTTGACCAAGTTTCGCAGTCGCACTTGAACGCATCATGACATATTGCTCTGCCCCCTTCCTCAAATGAAACGGGGGGGGGGAAGACGCGTTTATGGGCGTGTCGCCACAAACCAATGGAGCCGAGAGAGAGGAGGGGTTAAATCTCCATGTTCATAAATACCCTGAGCTGCTTTTTCACGACCCGCTCTCTCTTACCCCAGACAAGGCAGACCTCCCTGTGGGCCATTGGTACCGTTTAAATTCTCAAATAAAACAGCAGCAAAACAGTTAAAAAAAACCCCGCAACCATGAGCAGGAAATTCTTCGTTGGTGGAAACTGGAAGATGAACGGCGACAAGAAGAGCCTCGGGGAGCTCATCAAGACCATGAATGGAGCCACGGTCGACTCCAATGTCGGTACGTGCGTTTTTTTGACTACCCTTAGATCAAACCTAATTTAAATGTTTTCTCCCTTAAAGCCGGTTTTATACCTGACATCCAGTTGCTGTCACTTCGAGTTCGTTTTTTTGTCCTTTTTTTATTTTCTCGGTCATTTAATAAATCAATGACACCGACGGCATCCGAGACTTACTTCTGCTTTATTTTATGCTTCTTTTTTATTTATTAATGTAACATTTGAACGTGAACTGTGAACTTTTCATCTTTACCGAGTCTACATCCTGACAAAGACGGACATCAAAGTGGGAATACGGATGGCAGGTTTTCAGTAATGTGGGTTATGGTGTTGGTGGGTGTGCGTTTGCAGCGGCACGTAGACCAGCAGCCTCTGCTGTCTTTGGAAGTGCACGGTGCGTTCAATGCCACTCGTTTTAGACTCTTCATTTGCAAACTAATACGGAATAAAGTCTTTAATGCGTTTCTCTCGCAAATTGTCATTTAAGTTTAGCTTGTGGATGCAGCTACGCCAGTGAAAACACGGTTAAATGTATATTTTAGTTGTCTTGTGTACTGTTTTCTTGTGTACGGGTTTTTCACAGTATGACCTGAATGCAGCAGCAGTAGACATTTGCCCTGTTGCTGTCTGCTTCCTGCTGACTGAAGACAAACTAACAACGGCCTCTGCTGTTAGCTGTTTCTTTCCCTTTTTTTTTTCAATTCAGAGCCTCACACATTGTTGTAAATTGATACAAGCAGGGAGGTGTTGAATTTGTCCAGGCCTGTTCACCATCCCATTTGTTCTTCCTGCTACACAGAGGTTGTTATGCAACAACTGTAATGTATTGTGTGTGTGTGTATGTTGGTACATCAGTCTGAGGCCTGAACTGTCACTGTGCAGACTAGCCTTGGACCTTGCTCCATTAATGAATCTGCCCCCAAACCAAGGGATTCTGAGTATTCCCACTTGGTTATCTTGGACCTTTACATGCAAAGTCACACTTTTTCCTCCCCAGACTGATTTCCTCTTTATGTTACCTATTTAAACTTGTCCTTTTATTTGGCCCTCTAAACTTAAAGGGTCTTGACTTTTCTCTGACCTCTGCAGAATGCCGCCATGTGTGCGCCCTTTAGGAGGCTGAACTCAGACCTTTAATGCAGAGGGTTTAAACGGTGACCGGGGAGGAATGACCTTTACCAAACCAATAATAACAGGAGTGTTTAATATAGACTCTGGTTAACCCCCAAGATACAGTTACATTTTGAATGTCAGTATCTTGACTCTACTGTAGTCTGCTTGACCCATGTAGACTCTACTGTGCTGCTGATTTTGGCCAAATATTGTTTGCACAAGAAGGGAAAACATTTTGTGCTTGTATACATTACAATTAACATGCATTTCAAAGAGCTACACCATGAATAATATTGAAAGGAAAAACACTTCAAGTTGAGACTAAACATTTGTAAACTGAAGACCTGTCAGCAGATTTCAGAGTGATTCCAGTATGTAGTCAATTGTTATGAATTTTGGTTTCAGCTGACCTTTTCTGTGTACTTTTAGTTTGTTTGGATTAAGACTTTTATCAGGATATTACAAAACTGGACTGGTTGTGAATCTGTCAATTCAATCCCCTGTGTTATCATGCTGTGGGTCAATGTGTTTGTTTAGTCTAGGAGCAGTTTAGGACAGTTATCCTGTTCGTCATGACGACAGCCACCTCTACTTTTCACCTTGTTTGTGATTGTGCGCTTGTGTTTTTCATTCTCTTTTCATAAAGGTTACTTTAATGTTCAAATATTTTTCATGCAGAATAAACACTCTTGCTGTCGAGTCATCACACCCACATTACTAATTTATTTCTTTTGTATCAGTCCATCAAAACTACATTTCAAGCAGTTACCTAACGGATACTCAGGAAGTTGGTGAAAAATGTCTTTTATTTAAGAATACATCTGAGTCTTATAACATGATGGGCTACACAAACCCTGAAATCATTGTTTCCTTTCTCTCTGCTCTCAGAGGTTGTGTGCGGTGCCCCAGCAATCTACCTGGACTTTGCCAGGTCCAACCTGGACGCCAAGTTTGGCGTGGCGGCCCAGAACTGCTACAAAGTTCCCAAGGGTGCCTTCACTGGGGAGATCAGGTACACTGTGTGACCCTTAAAAGTAAATAAAAGAGTTTGATGATAAGCAAATAAAGATAAATAAGTGGAAGGCAGCTCAATTGAACACAAAAAAAAACCTTCTTATCACTGGTTTTGTAACTGAAAGATAAGATTTTTTCCTGAATATTATCTTCCTTTAGCCCTGCGATGATCAAGGACTGTGGCGTGAACTGGGTGATTCTGGGACACTCTGAGAGGCGCCACGTCTTCGGAGAGAGTGATGAGGTATTTCTAGATTATTAGTTCAAAACGTGTGACGTTACTTTTTGACAGCAATGTATCACTTTTTTCGATGTTCGTCCTGGAGAAGGCTCAGCTTTTCTTAGATACAAAACTTGGGAGGGGGAGGGGGGTGGGTAGGAATAATGGTATGGAAACGATGTTCTAGAGGACTTTGTCAAGTATATCGTGTTAGTAATGACGCTAAGTACTAACCAAAAGAGCAGCATCCTTTAACATGAGTAGGAAACACAAAAGAGACAGTTCAACAGTTCGTCCTGTGCTTTGTGATTTGATGTTTGTTTCTTTTATTAGCTCATCGGTCAGAAGACAGCACACGCTCTGGAGAGCGGCCTGGGTGTCATCGCCTGCATCGGCGAGAAGCTGGACGAGAGAGAGGGCGGCATCACCGAGAAGGTCGTCTTTGCTCAGACCAAGGTCATCGCAGGTACATGACTTTTTTTTTTTTTTTTTAAATGCACAGAAGAATGAGGCTTAATGTTTTAAATCACATTTCCTGGACAGTTTATGCAAGCCAGAGTGTAAGGTAAATCAGAAAACTTGTGAAACTCACTGTTTATCACACGTTTCTTTCACAGACAATGTAAAGGACTGGAGCAAGGTCGTGCTCGCTTACGAGCCTGTGTGGGCCATTGGCACAGGCAAGACCGCTTCCCCACAGCAGGTAAACATGAGTAACCACAGAAAGTGATAACTACAATCTCTTTATGTAACCACTCACAATGCAAATGTTTCCTGTGTGATATCTCAGGCTCAGGAAGTGCACGAGAAGCTGAGGGGCTGGCTGAAGACCAACGTGTCTGAGGCTGTAGCCAACTCTGTCAGGATCATCTATGGAGGTCAGTCAACTGGGAGAGACAACGTTTGTGTGTAAAATTTAGTTTTTCTGGCTCCTTTTTATTAATCTGTTTTTCTTTCAGGTTCTGTGACCGGTGGTACCTGCAAAGAGCTCGCCTCCCAGAAGGATGTCGACGGTTTCCTCGTGGGCGGAGCCTCCCTCAAGCCAGAGTTTGTCGAAATCATCAACGCCAAGGCATAAAAGAAAAACCTGGAAAACTGCAGTGAGACCAAGTCCAGATTAGAGGCCAGCTCCATTCAGACGATTCAGCTCCATCATCCTTCACTGTCAGCACTTTGTCCTCTTCCCTCCTCATTCAAAGTATTTGTGTATTGAGGTCATTCCCTGCTTTTCCTTTTATTTTTTTGTGGTATATTTGACATGAAAAGAAAAGGGCAGGTTGACACGTGCACTGTACTGCACTGAAAAAGAGTTAAGTCCACTGAGAATAAACCTTGTGCGTACTAACTTCCACACTGAGTGCTCAAGCTGTAAAGACTGACAAGAATTACACCTTGAGGTGGACGGCCAGTCCTCGCCTTTACTTGAAAAGTTTGCGAAAAAACATTTCTGTAAACAATGTCACAGCTCTTGTCAATCAGATGTATTTGTCTTTGTAATATGGGTGTCTCTTTTGTGTAATTATGATGATCTGTGGCTTTTTTTTTTTCTCCCTGTAGACGTGCATGATCCGCTCTCTCTCCGGCTGTTTGGCTGAGAGTAGAGCGTTCACTACATGTTAATCATACTGTGTCATGGCCGATGGGTATAAGGGTTTGAAGGCTGTAAGGTAACATAATAAACGCTTTAGAGACTGAGTGTTGAGTCTTGTTCTGCTTGTTTAATGAGCTTTATTTCATGAATCTCCAAATCAACTTCCCATATTTACAGGGTACCAGTTGGGGATATTGAGCAGTCATCTTCAGTCTGCTGCTGTGTGATTGTAATCTCTGGGGTATTCTCAGGATGGCAGGGAGAGAGTATCTCATTACAGCAGAGCACTCCTGTTAAGACAATACCATACAGAGAAGCATTTCACTGCTATTTATATCCCACACTGAAACGGACACATCAGAGACAGATTCATGTATCAGGGGAAAAGTGTAGTTTATATCAATATCTTTGCCTTGTTATGAAAAGTTTTTTATTTCCTAATCAGATCTAATTACTGCAAGAAAAAAACCCAACTTAACCTGGTTGGATCCTAAACAACTATAAAATATTTTATAGTTCTCAACCGGGCAAGAGAATAAACGTATCTCTCTGAAGTCCCCTAAATAATCCACGAGGACTATTTGATGATGACCAAAATGATTCAAGATCATGTATTTCCTAATTTTGAGAGAAGAGTTGCACAAAGGTGTGAGATGCTGAAAGAGTCCCCCTGGCCAGTACAGAAGTGTAACAGTGACACAATGCAGTTCCAGTAGTTTGTGTCCTTATTGCTAGGCAAGTCTTTAATTTGTAAAGAATGTTAGTCTTTAAAATTTAAGACAAAATCCAAGAGTTTTTAATTGACTATTAAAAAGTATTAAGAGTGTCAGATCTTTATTCTATGCTGTTATGGATACTTAAGGTTTTCCCCCGTCTCACTGGAGCTGGATTGTTTAACCCTTACGCGTCAGGGTAAGCTAGTTTATATAATATTTGGTTGATTAAAAAAATGATAGCATGAATAAACTATACACATGCAGCTAGCAGTCTATAATTATGACTGAGGAAACAGAGGTGTAACATAGTATTTGATTTTTTTGGCAATGCAGATTAGTCCAGGAATTTTAGACTTCTGTCACAATCTTTATGTCTGTCTTGAGCAAAGACTTGGTTTAAACCAAATGTTTGGCCTACCCTGGTGTCTTTTGTCTTCCTTATAATGTGTCGGTGTTGAAACAGCCACAGGACTGAATCAAGTGCTGTGAAACATAATGCTTTTATAAAAAAAATAAAGAGTCAAAAGAGCAGGAACATGATGTATTTCAATAACATACTCCTTTAGAATTGGAATTTCTATAAACAAATGGAACACAAAACATGAAAAAAAAATCACATATTTGCTCATACTATAGTAAAGTAAATAGTCGACATACTGTACATAGTCATACAAAGACTTGTGGCAGCACGGGTTTGCTTCTTAGAGGGGAGAATCATTCAAATACACACCAGCCTCATCTATGGCACCTAAGCCACTTTTACATTTTCTTATTGTCCTAATTAATTGTTTCTTACTGTCACACATACTGCCATAAAACACACAAAACAAAGGCTTTCTTTTCAAGTAATCCAGGGAGTTCAGGACCCTTAGGAGTCCTCGATCAGTTGCCCCCTGATGGATGTAAATTCTGCATCGATAAAATGTTACTTAGTTTTGTGCGCTGGGATATATTAGTAGTATAAACTCTTAAATTCTGAGCACAGACTGGGTGCAAAATTAAATTTAGTTTCCCCTTAAAGGGGCGGTGTAACATTCCAGTAGGGTAAACTACAAAAGTTTGATGATATATTTTTCTCTTGTCCTCATAATATTATAAGCCAGCGTTTGTAAATGTATTGCCTTGTATTTTGTTATATAAATCCTCCTCAGTTTGCAGCTGTGTGTGTGCATATGGGTAGGAGTGAGTGAGTGAGTGTGTGTGTGTGTGTGTGTGTGTGTGTGTGTGTGTGTGTGTGTGTGTGTGTGTGTGTGTGTGTGTGTGTGTGTGTGTGTGTGTGTGTGTGTGTGTGTTTATACTCCGCCTCAGCAGGGGGCGATAGTTCCCCGCAGTGATCCCGCTCATGTCCGTGTTTACAATCGAAGCGTGACGTGCAGAGATTCGGAAGAATACGTCCTCCAACGTAACGTTGACTGAAAGCTTTTAAATTTACATTTTTTTTTTAACGGCGAAAATGTTGTCGCTGAGAGCTTTTCTCAACGACAGATTGATGGTAGCGGCAGACGAAATATTTGAGGCTGTTGAAAAGACATTAGTCGAGTACAAAGAGGAGATTTATCGCTCCAAAGATCTGGAAATCAGTCGTCTCAGGATGCAGCTGAAGCTTCTCAAGTCAGGTGGGTTTGAGTGAAATATGCCTGCAAACAAACCTCATGCAGGTTTTCTTTATTTATTTTTTACTGACACTGCATGATTTCGATATTTCGATTTGTTTTGTATCCATAGAGCCCAGGCTGGAGAGATGCATTGAAGCCCAGCTGCAGCAGCACACCCATCACCACCACCATCAACCTCCTCCCCCTCCTCCACCTCAGGATCATCACTCAGCCCCTGCGGCGGAGGAGTCCCAGCACTGTGAGGAGGAGGAAGAAGAGGGCAGTAGCATGGAGCAGGAGCACCTAGAGCCCTCGCAGGTGAAGAAGGAGCATCAGAAGAGCCACGGGGATTTCTGGATGGGACAAGACGCGGCGGAGCAGCTCGAAAGCCTTGAATCGGACATCAAAGACTTCATTTCATCCCCCTCCAGCCTCAGAAATAGTCTGCACGACTCCGTTTTACCCTTCCATCCAAACATGAACAGCATAAACAACAACAGCAGCAGCAGTGGAGAGGAGGGCAAAGAGAAGCCCTACTGCTGCTCCGTGTGTGAGAAGCGCTTCAGTAACTGCTCCCACCTCGCAGCTCACATCAGGACACACACAGGAGAGAGGCCATACATGTGCGAAATATGCAGAAAGACTTTTATCACAACAAGCGCCCTGAACAGACACCAGACGATACACACTGAAGGCAAACACTTTGTCTGTAATTGCTGTGGGAAGTCCTTTAAATGGATGGAGTCTCTCGGCAGGCACATACGAAGTGTGCACAAGAGAGAAAACATTCCTGAGTGAATCTTTAAATTACAATGATGTCCAATAGGTATACACATTTTTTTTACTGTGGGCCTATGACTTGTATTTAATAGTGGAGGGGACATAATGTAATGTCTGTTTTCTATGTTTAGGTTTGGTAAATGTGCATGGACCTCATGTAGCCTTGTGGGTAGAAACATTGGCTGCAGGTAATATGTGTAAAAATACATTCAGATGGGTTTCATTTTATTTTAAAAATGAACATCAATGTATTGTCTAAAGAATAAAATGTGAATATTTGATTTTTTTTTTTCGGTTATGTTTTTTAGTTGTAAAGTCCTCCAGTAGGTGGCAGTACCATCATCCCATTCACAATTTCCCATCCATCAGTATTTGGCAGTTCACACTCACAGCAGATCTTAATAGAGAGAGTCCAGGCAAAACATCTAAAATGTTAAGTTTGTAAATATAGAATCCTAATGGTTAAAATAAACTAAATATGTTTACCCATCTGAAGCACCCAATGTTCTTTTATTTGAGTATTTTTCATTTTAGGTGGCTTTAAACTTCTAATAACCACATTTGTAAAACATGAATAAAACAAACAAATCACAGTGACATGGTAGAGTATAAAGTTACTAAAACTAGCCACAAGTGCAACATGACAGTTACTCTGACGGACAAATCAAAAAATAATGTTATAAGAGGATCATAATTTTTTCTCTTCATCCTGAGTACAAAAAAGATATAATTTGATGCCTACTCTTTTTAATTTTGTTTTGAAATGGGTAAGGAGTTCTGGTTCGGGGCTTAGGTTAAGGGTAAGGGGCCTGGGGTCAGAGTAAGGCATTAGTGCGTTTGGGGGTTAGTAGTTAGGTTTTTTGTTTTTTTTTCACACAAGAAACAGTAAAAATATCTCCTCAAAAAATGAGTAATGTGCAATTTGTTGTATGTTGTTTATCCTATGTGCGCCTCTATTAACAAATGGATTGTTTGTTTGCTGTTTTTTATTATTAATACTTCAGTGGAGGCAGCTTACTGTACGCAACACTTGGAAGTTCAGGACAAATTTCCCCAAGGGGACAATAAAGTGTTGCATATGCTACAGTATGGTGTGGTATTATGTCATAATGTATTGAACTGATGGTAACATAACATAACATAACATAACCTATCCTATCCTATCCTATCCTATCATATCCTTTCCTGTCCTGTCCTGTCCTGTCCCGTCCCTTCCCTTCCCTATCCTATCCCATCCTATCCTTTCCTATCATATCTTAGAGTGTGGTCCGACTCCTACCTGCTGCCCTTTATATTTGGGCTCATCATGAAGCTTATACTTAGATTCAGGGATGAAACCGGGATTTGTAATGTTGGAACTGTAAGTCATGTTTGCCGTAGTGTGTGCATGTAGGAGCAGATGAGAGTGATGCTCTTTGTTCTAAATATAAGACAAGTCTTGAATGGTCTCGTGCTCATGTGACAGTAATACATTTTGCTTGAAAGAGTCATTTTTTCTATTTATAAAATACAGTATACTGAGTTTAAAGGTTCAAGGAGCCAATACACGCGTTTCAAATCGTAGTCTTTTTCAGCTCATATATTCTTTATTCATGTGTTAGACTGCTTGAATTGAAAAGATTCTTGAGATGCTGAAAATTACTGCAGCGAAGGGCCTCCACCTTACACTTCATTCATGCTTCATAAAGCAGAATATCTCTGTGAAGTGGATTATTATTTCAGGGTGCTCTCATTTATTGCAGAGCGATTTCCTGAGAGCTCTCATGTACATGCAGGCTCTCTGTGCAGTAAACCCCACTTACAACAAGTGAGCAGAGTGTACAATTAAAATGATGACACAATATCTTTTTTGAAATTGAAAATCTGGATTATAATGAAGGTCAACTGTGTTGCTCCAAATCATGTGGTGAACTCGAGGACTCAAGGGTTGCTCAGAACACAGATGTGCTTGTGGAGAGAAAGGTTATAGGACAACACTTATCACACAAGTGACCTTGAGATGATTCCATTGGATCACCTTCTGCACATCCCTCCATGGCGTAGAAAAACATTTTGTATTTAAATGAGTGAAACAAGCAGCATGGGCTACAATGTTAAACTCCAAAAGTGTCCTGAGTGTAACAACTCTGCTGTAACATCAGCAGCAAAAAGTCAGAGCTTGGGCAAAGAGAATGTCGACAAAGGCAATGAAGGGTTAATGTTTTTTTGCAGGGAGAGTTTTGAAGAGCAAAACATCTCCAAAAGATGGCAAAATTAATGGTTTTATGGAAATAGGGACTTAACTGAATGAGTCGCTGTTGATGCAACATTTTTGCAACCAAAGAACAAAACAAAACAAGAATGGAATTAATGGCATTTATATCTTGACATTTGTGAGTGAGTGTGTCACATTTTTTATTTTTAAAATGTCCAAATGCCTATTTTTTCCTGTTTTCTTATGTGGCTTAGATGTGTTTTTTTTCTTCCATTTTTGTTATGTTTTGTGAGGGGGTGTGTGTGTGTGTTATTTTTGTGTGTGTTGTCCCTTTATTGAGATTGTGTAAGTCCTCGTTGCTATAGACTGTTGATTTGTGATGTGTGTATTATTTTTATTGGAAAATGCAAAATAAAATATTATAAAAAAACAAAAACAAATGCCTGTTTTCTTTAAATGATGGTACAGGAAACAGATTTTGTAATATAGTTTTAGTTTTAAGTCATTTCTAACAACTTGCCTTGTGGGATTCAAACAGCTTTGAAGGGCTCATTTAAAATAACTCATTAGCTCGTTAAGTATTTGTGCATGTTTATAAGGGTATTCAAGCAAAGGAGTCACATTTTGGCAACATTTTGGATTTTATGTGGCTTGCATGACTTTAGCTCAACCTCTTAAATGAAATCTTTACAATGTAATTAAAACTGAGCCTAAGTAGATGAGAGCGAGCGCCAATTTAATCATCACATAATAAAAGCAGGGTGTTGATCTGTGGCCTTGTTTAGTTTATTTCATGCTAATTGCTTTCACATGTAGGACCAAACCTGTTGACAAACCATTTGCGTTTCAGTTCTGCTGCTGCTACCATATCGACGCCTGTCCCTAATTACGATACAATTAATTACAGATAAGTTCATAAACCACAGGGATGCTCTTGTGCAAGTCCTGGTATTTACGATGAACCTGACTGTGTGTTATCATGATAAACTTAACAGTTCAAATGTGCTGCCAAAAGTAGGTCAGTATGACAGAATAAGAATTATTTGGAAATATTTGTCCTACATTTGAAAACAGGAGCTGCTAATAATATCTTCACTTTGCATCAGATATTACTGAGAGAGACTGTGATTGTAATAGCAGGTCTATATGAAATGCAGTGTTGAAACCACGTCCTTCATCCACACTTTTCACAACATCCTCATTCACCCTGCAAGCGGACCGATGAAAAGGTCTGATGAAGTGCTAAGAATATCCCCCAGATGTGATGTCACCAGAGAGGGAAATCACATTTGTCCTGTTAGAAGATACTTTACATTATGTTGACACACTTATTCAAGGTGACTTTAAGTGACACATAGCCTACATACTAACTCATAAGCATGCTCCATCCAGTTTCAAAAGCACTGACACACCTCACAATTCAATATTACTATTCTAGAAATGTTTCTGACTGACAGGACTATCAACTACGATACAATACATCAGGAAGAGGAGGTTTTGCATAGAAATATGAAAAGGTTGCAGACTTTAGGTATCTAGAAATGGCTTGCAGGGATATTATATAAACAGAGGGCAAAAAATGAAAACTGTAATATTGTAAAGTTTGTTTGGGTAGATCTGAACATCCCCAAATCTGCAAGCCTGCAGTGATTTGTCCTGAACGTGAGCACTGTATTCACTGATCCATGTCCGTTTGAAGGAGATTCCTCCAGCCGGACACAAGTGAAAACCCTCACACAAACACACGTACACACACACACACACACACACACACACACACACACACACACACACACACACACACACACACACACACACACACACACACACACCCTAACACAGCCCAACAGTGTCTGTAAATCACACTCTCACAGCTCCTCCTTTTTTTCTCCTTTCATTTCTTTCTCTTTCTACATTTTTTTTCTTCTCCTTTCATTTTTACAGTGCAGTAAGGAATGCTTGCTCTACAGGGTGGCTGCTGTTCACTGGAGCAGCTCAACTCCCATGTCTCACACTCATCCCATGTGTCTCCTATTAGCTACACCAAGAGAGGAGGAGGAGGAGGAGGAGGAGGAGGAGGGACAGACTGACGAGGAGCAAAAAGAGGGGGAGTCAGGGAGAGAGAGAAAAAGGGGGGAGGGGGAGGAGAGAGGAATTTGATATGCTTTGTGCATGAGTGACTTGTATAAAACAAAGACGGGGCAAATACTCTGAATGTATGTGAGACAGGAGAAAACATAGTGCACACATGAATACGCAAGGAGCTAGCAAAAAAGATTATAATTTATTTCCAGATTTTTTGTCCTTCATTTGCATCTTGTTTCACAAGGTAAATTGAAAATAAAAAATAAAAATAAAAACCAACTGCCATACCAAGAAAATGTAAAAAAATACAAATAATATGTACTGTATATATAATTATATCATTATCAACAAACAGACAACATTAATCATAATAACAATACTATTGATCATGAACATAACACTAAATTGCTGGTCTCATGCATATTGAACACCCCTCAGATACAAAAGAGGGGGTAGTTACTAAGAATAGAACAAAAAGTTCCACCAGATCAGAATAAGCGCCTAACTACATGCAATGACATAAAAGAGACTCATGTACACATTCCTTCCTGGCATCAAGTATTTTACACATACCATACTTCACTGTTTCAGCCCCCATCTAATATACTGTACAGAGCACAATACAAAACAGGACTGGAGTTGAAGAACATTACGCATGGAAGCGCTAAAGTCTGTTCCTCGACGTGGTGCAGTTATCAGGGACAGTGTGCAACATTTTCACGCCCTCCTTCCTCTCTTGCAAATCCTTTAAAGTTGTGTTTTCTTCACTGGATTGCCGTCCATTAGCCTTTGTCTTGAATCTTTGTTCATTCTTTTTTTTTTCAGTGCCCCAAGTTTTGCGTATAATTTTACACACATTCTCCCTCAGTTTTCTCCATGCTGCCCTTCGTCTTGCCCCTCCCTCACACGGTCTTGTCACTTTCTTTCTTCAGGTGACTAAGAAAAGTTAAGGAGAAACCAAGTTAGAGAACACGGTTAGACAGAGGTCACAGCAAAGGCTAATATTTTGAAGCTAATGCATATATTTTGAGGCTTGGACATAGAGGGGGGGGGGGAGGAACCCTGTTCCAAACAGCAGAGCTTACTTTTACAAGATGCATTCCAACTTTTTTTTAATACACTGGACAATTTTTCACATGGAGGTATTTTTCCTCTGACATCACACACAAGCTGGCAAGCTCAAATGGATTTTAACGTTGTACTGCTGTGTTCCAGGTTGTAAATTCTTAGATATACTTAAAGGGAAACATGAAACACAAACATAGGCTGAAATACACGTACACATGCACAAACAGTACATGCACTAATCCAGCACTTCTGGGTTGGAGGTGGGGGTTCAATGCCTTGCTCAGGGACACCAGCTATGGGACTAATTTCCAGATTTGGTCCACACTGGGACTTGAACTGGCAACCCTCCAATTACCAACCCAAGTCCCTACAGACTGAGCTACTGCCGGATGGTAGATTCTGACAACTGACTCATCAATTTAGACCCGTTCTGTATTTATAGGCAACTTAAAGAAAATGAATACATTACAGAGGGACAATAGCTTATATTTAAAGGTAGACCAACATATTTGACTCCTTTTTATTTTTCAACAGACAAAGGCTGATGTAAGCATTCAGCCCCTTGTAAGCTAACGCCAGTCGCCAGGGATCTATGCCTTTCTTTTTGTATTGTGTAAAATCAACAAAATCCTCCAAAAGTAATGAAAACATTCAGTTCCCTATATATATTGTTGATATTAGCTAGGAGGTCGCTAAATGCTAGTATGAGCTGTAGTCTGATGAAGCTGATAATTATGACCTTTAGTATGGCCTGAAGTCCCCTCAAATTTTCAGTCGTGTGTCTTTCAAGTTGCTGATCATTATGAGGTAAAATGATTAAAAACTACATGTATTTCATTCCTTTCATTTAAATGATTTGCAAACATGAACACAGCAGTATAAAATATGTGAACATGGTGCGGTGTAACACACTAAAGGAAGGCTTGTTAACACTCCTTCAGCAGTGAAACGTTAGATAAGACGGGCAGTTACTTTCTGTACCTGTAATACTCGTCCTGGGTGAGGGAGTGGTGGTGATGGTGATGGATCCACTGTTGTTCCAGGGCCAGTCTCTGGATCTGCAGCTCCGCGCTCTGGGCCTGCTGCATGGCCTGGAGCTGATGGGCTGCTGACATCGGACCAGTGAGGGAGGACGGCTGGGGCAGGTCACGGAAAGGAGCACCTGTTTGAAAACATAAAGTGGGAAAAAGCACTTTGGTCAGTCATCATTATCATATTCAAAAAAACTTTTCATAAACTTTAAGCACAGTGGAGTTTTTAGAGAAAAAACTGAACAAGTACATGGACGAGGAGCCTTCTCCTCACCGAACAGCTGTTGGCGGAGCACCTCGCTGTCAGTGAGGGGGTGAGCCAGGATGGGGGTGCCTAGTGTGGCTCCTGGGTAAGGGAGGCGTGCCAAAGGAGACCCCGACGCCAACGGGTCCATCAGGGGGTGAACCCCGCCCGTCGCTGGATGCCAGTGATGTAATAGGAAATACAGGATATATTCAATAAGAGTCAAAACATGGAATTCTAAAGAAAAATTATCTATACTTATAACATTTGATTCAAGGGAAGAAACATCTTGAGAATACTAATATGAGCGATCTGGGCTCTAGATAAAGCAGTTTAATTTATTTACACTTTTGCTGAAGTTTCCAATAAAGGCAGTGTATGAACAGTAATAGATTTTCTTAAAAAAATGAGGGAACCAAATTAATACGCAAACATGTATAAGTGGAAAAAAAACATTTTCAATTACACACTGTTCTTTGAATAAAATAACAGGATTTATCACTTCATAATTATTCTCAATGTAAATGTGAAACAGGTAATAATGTTCAGATTCGTACTGTAAATAAATAGGAAATCTTTCAGAATGACTAAAGCTTTCACTTCTTCATTGTACATCTTCTGCTCCATAATATTACTGCCATGAGAGATAACAATCATTTGTGATAAGACATGTGAACCTGCAAATTGTTCAGAAAACATTTGAAAGAATCCTGTTTAATGCTGAAGTTAACTTCAAAAAGCAATTTGTATTTGAGTTAAAGCCATTTGTGTCATCATGACATCAAGCCCACCCTTAAGACATCAAGTGTCTTTGTTTGATCATTTGAATACAATGTAATATGTCTATGTCTGAAGAAGGACGAGGGCCCGAAACTTTACATGTTGTGATTTTTCCATTAAATTTAATTTAATTGGAGCAGCTTCTGGTGTGCTGACTCAGTATTTTTCTATCTTCTCATGTTTTTTTGTTCAGCACCCAGTACTTAAGTTTTCTGATCTTTGCTATTATTGTAATATTTCTCACCTTATTCTTCACAACACACATTTAAATGACTGTTAAAATACATTTTGACTGGAAAATGTTTTTGGATATGCACATTTGTGTAATTGTGTTAGTATCAGTGGGTACCTGTGTCTTGCTGGTGCAGGTGAAGATGCGAGTGGATGTGTGAATGCTGGTGATGATGAGGTGTCACGTTTAACATCTGCAGACGCCCCAGATTCTCTCCTCCACCTCCTCCTCCGCTTCCCCCTCCTCCGCTTCCCCCTCCACTTCCTCCACTTCCTCCACTTCCACCACTTCCTCCCCTTTCTCTCTCCCTCTCTCTGTCTCGCTCTCTTTCACCAAAAGCAGGCAAAGGTGCTCTGTCTCTCTCTCTCTCCCGCTCTCTTTCCCCACTCCTCTCTCGCTCAAAGGAGGTGGGAGAGCGGCTTGGAGTGGGGTAGGTCTCCGGGGGAGCGGCTTGGGCAGGGGCTGGTGGCAGATGAGAGGATAGGGAGCTGGGAAAAGAAGTATGAGGGACAGGGTGATGAAGTGAGGCAGCATTGGAGGTTGGTGGAGCAGTTTGGGTAGGAGGAGGAGCGGGTGGTGGAGCAGCAGGGCCTGGTGGGGCTGTGGGGGCAGCTGGCGGGGCAGAAGATTGGTGAGAGGGAATGGAGGGTGGGAGGAGAGAAGAGGGAGGTGGATTGGACAGGGACTGAGGGGCAGTTGGGTTGGGAGGTCGAGTTACTGGGGCCAGAGATGGATTTTGGAGGTGTGGGGGGCCAGGCGGTGCTGGCGGAGGAGGAGTGCCATAAAGTGCCACCTCATTTGCTCCTGCTGCACCTCCTCCAAGGAGCAGAGAGTGCGCATGCGCATGGGCATGGGCATTGGCATGGGCATGGGCATGAGCATGAGCATGAGCATGAGAATGAGAGTGAACAAGGGCAAGAGCTGCAGGATCATGTATGGATCCTGGTGGGTAAATCCGCTCATCGCTCTTAAATTCAAACCCTTGCTTTATACGTTCTCGATGAGCAGCCATCGCATGAGGAAATCCAACTCCTCCTAACCCTCCGCCCCCAATCCCTCCAGGTATTGGGCCTCCTGCCATCCCAGGATGGCCTCCGACACCATGACCCCCTTCAAGGCTGCCGCCGTACAGAAAGCCCAATATGGCTGCTGCTGTAGCTGCGTCAGTGGGCAGGTGATGTGGGTGGCCTAAACCATGATTTTGGAATTGAGGAAGGAAAAATGAAGGGTGCACATGGGGATGGCCATGGTGAACTTGAGCGTGGTGAGCCTGAGCACGACTTGCTGCCCCAAGTGGAGACATCGCATGAGGGCGGGCATACTCGCTCAGGGTCCTAAGTGCTGGAGTGTCAGGACCCAGATATGGACCTCCTAAACCTATTCCTAGGGCTCCCTGGGGGCCTCCAACTACCGCCGAGGCCCCAGCCATTGAGGGCAGTAAGAGGGAGTGCGGGATAGAGTGGGCAAGGCTGGGGTGGAGATGGTGTGCTTGAGTAAGGTGAGCATGCGGGTGTGAGTGATGATGCTGGTGGTGAGGGGGAGGTTGAGAGACGGAGTTCCCCGCGGCAGAGGAGGAAGAAGATGAAGGATCGAGGATGATAGAAGTTGAGGAGGGGAAGAAGAGAGTGGAGCCCTGGCGACCTCCTCCGGCGGCATTAATGTCCTTCTGCTGCTGTGTGAGAAAAACAGTAAAAGATAATAAATTGAGTCTGGCCTGATCTGCTTTACTCCCCGCCCATTAAATTGATGAATACAATCTACATCAAATCCATTAAATCGCACACAATTATCACGCTCAAATGTGCACACCTGTAGATGTCGATCCAGTTCCCTCTCACGCTCACGCTCCCTTTCTCGTTCTCTCTCTTTTTCTCTCAGGTCTCTGGCTCGCTGCTCCACCTCCCTACGTGCCCTTTCAATAACCTCGTTCCTTTTCTTCCACAGTTTGGAGCCGTCCAACGGGACAAAAAGCACATCACTTCGTGCACAGGAATTCCCGCTGCCACGATCAAGGACCTTGTGAAATCTAGACATGAGTGACACAGCGGTGTAAAAACATCATTACTACAACCGTCAGGAGTCAGAATCACCATCACCATCATCACTATTACTGTCTATTACATCTGATCGAACAAAGACTAAACAGAGGATGATGATGTCAATTTGATGTTACCTTGCTGATTGGCTGGCATGGATGGGAATGTCTACAGGTTTGGGTTCAGGAGATGGGCTTCTCAGCACGGGTGGACTTTCACTCTCTTCCCTGTCTTCTATTGGCTCCTCTTTGATCACAGGTGTGGGAGGTGGAGCGGAATCTGCGTGTCCATCTCCACCAGGGAGCAAAGAGCTTGAGGCTGGGATGGAAATGCTGTTGTTTGCAGAGTTACTAAGAGGCGGGGGTCCTTTGGAAACATTTTGAGGCGAGAGAGATTGCGAGTTGGTATTGCTGTTGTTCGGTGCGCTACTGTTGCTATTGCTGTTGGCTATGTTACTGCCACTGTTCCCATTGGAGTGGTACGTTCCACTGAATGGAGGTTGGCTGTTCAAAGTGCCATGGAAAGGGGAGGGCCGACATCCAGGTGAACAGCTGGATGACACACCTGAACCCGGAAGCGGCACGCTGGGTCCAGAGGACGAGCCAGGGGGAAAAGATGAGAAGCTTCCCATCTGATTGGTGGATTGGCTGGGTAATGGAGATAAGGGTGTTGGAGGGGTCTGGGAGGAGGACTGGTAGTGTGGGGGGCGTACATTGGAGGCCATATTTGATGGAGGTGGCTGGGTGTGGGAGGTTTGACTTTGGGGTAGAGGTGGTGGAGGGGGATAAGGGGCATTCAGAGGGTGTCCATGATGGCTGGAGGAAGAGGAAGGAGATAGTGTAGGAGGTTGATTTGGGCCTCCACGGTTTTGGTACAGAGCAGATTCTCGCATGTTGGGGTCTCTTTCTCTGTCTCTAGACCCAGACTGGTAGTGGGGGTGAGTTTGGTGGGGGTGATGGGTTCCTCCAGGTCCTGAATACTCTCGTCCTAGATTAGGAGTCACCCCAGGGGGGCTTAGGTACTCTCGATTTGTGGCAGTGGAAGATGGTGCACTAGCAGGAAAGTCTTTTCCTCCAGTGGGAGGAAACTCTCTGTGAAAGTGGTCTGCTCCAGAGGAGGGAGTTTGTGCTTGGTCTATAGGAGAAGGGAACTCTCGGTTGGATGGGTTTGGGGGATGTGGGTGTGGATGTGGAGGCTGGGAGGAATGGGATGTGTGACTGGGGTTGTTTTGGGGTGATGCCGGGGGGTCTCGATTCAGCATTGGGGTGACAGGTAGCCCGCTGGTTGAACTTGGAGTAATGGAGTTGTTGTTTTGGTTACTGGTGCTAACCACCTCTCTAGTCTGCCCCCCAAACTCACCCCACTTGCCTCCATCTTTGTCTCTTTGCCCCCCTCCTCCAGTTCCATTGGGGCCAAAGTCTCTACTCTGGTTTTGGTTTGGCAGAGGGAAGTCCCTCCCTGTATCTCGCTCTCTTTCCCGTTCCCTTTCCCCCCCTCGCTCTCTTTCTCTGTATGTTGGACCAAAGTCTCTTTTTTCAGGGCCCAAATTAGGTCCATCTCTGCCAGAACCTTGGAAGTCCCGGTTCCGACCAACTGAGTGACCCCCAAACTCTCTGCCTTGGATGCTGTTAGACCCACCGATCCCGCCACAAGCATTATTACTATTACCCCCACCGCTATTGTTGCTGCCGTTGCCAATAGGAGCAGAGAACTCCCTGTTGATCTCCCTCCCCCCACTTTCCCCCCTCACTCCCCTCTCCCTCTCCCCTTCGGCTCCCCTCTCTCTGTCCCCTCCCCCCCCAGCATACCTGGGAAGGTACTCCCTGTGATGGTGGTGGGAATGGGGAAGGTAAGAGGGGTGGGAGGAGGAGTGGCGAGAGGACGGAGGGTTGTACACAGAGGGAAGCTGCTGCTGCTGCACAGGTGGCTGGTGCTGGGGTTGGTGCGGGTGGTGGTTGCCGGGGTAACGAGTGTAACCCCAGTTCACCTGGCAACCCGTTGGTGTGCCACTCTGCCAGCTAGTAGAGCTGTAATGGTGAGGGTGGGCGGGGGATTGGGTTTGAGGCTGGGACTGGGACAGTGGAAGGGGGCTGGTTTGAGGCAACAGAGATGGAGGATTGGACTTCTCCAGTTTGTCTGTCTTTTCTATTTTGTCTCGTTCTGTCTTTACTTCAGCAGGCAGGTTTTGTCCCCCAAGCTCCAGGGGCTTCAGGGCAGGTGGAGGAGGTAGAGGAGGGGGCAAAGGGTGGGGAATATTGGGGTTGCTATGAGAAAAATCTCCTCCTGAGATAGCTGGCTTGGACACACACTGCGAACTGGCTTTGGAATTAATTCTGTCAACGCCCGTCGGTCCGCCATATTCAACTTTACACATCAGTTTGGAGTCCAGGGAAAAATAGGACTTTCTCCCACTATTGCTGTCATTTGATGAATCCCCAGCTCCGCGCAGAGAGGGAGTCAGACCCGAGGAAGAGCAAGGAGTGGACGGGGGCTTAAGAGATGGACAGTCTTCATTACGTGCATCCACCTCCCGCTTTTCTCCATCTCCACAGGACTCTTCCCCTCCTCTCCCCTCTCTTAGCACTCTCCTATCCTCTCCTGCCACCTTGCCCACTCCTCCCTCCTTGCCTTTTTCTCGTTCCCTCTCTCCGTGCTTTGGTGAGTCAGGGCCATCGGAATCAGAGTCCAGGCTACCCAGAGGGGAAGCGGATAGACTCGGGGATGAGGAACGATTGTCCTGGTCTATATCCCTCCCACTGCTCAGACTACTGCTGCTATTGGCCAGGCTCCCTACAACTGAACTCCTACTGCCCTGGGATTGGCCGTCTTCATTGTCACTCTCCCGGGATTGGCTGGTAACTGAAGTTGGAGGTGGGACATTGGAAGGGGCTGAGCTGTCAGTCGAGTGTGTTGATGTAGGAGGGTTAGGGGTAGAGGCCGGATCCTGACAAAAGAGATAATTTGTGGATGAGGATAAATTAATATTTTATAACTTTGGTAATATTGGCTGTCTTATAGCAAACGATGTAACACTGAATAAGATAGACAGCTCCTTTTTAAATGATTTAGCTTAATCAAAGCTTTATAATTAGTCTTTATATAACAGGTTGAAGAAATGTAACACAAACCTGAACTTTCTGCCTCTTTGGAGGAGACACAAGTTCCTCCCCCTCACTCTCTGATGAATCATGCCCTTGTGATCTGCGACTGAAGCGATTTCCAGCCAATTCCTCACCAGCACCTCTTTGCTAAAACAACACAAGACTTTTAATTCTGTAGTGATGCCTCTGAATCCCTAACAGGCCCTTGACTGTTTTTAGAACAAAGCCACACTCACTCTCACACACACACACACACACACACAGCAGCTATGTCAAACATGAAACATAAAAAGATTTCAAAGTGCTAAGCTGTAAAACACACTATTGAACAATACTGACACTGCAAGGGTATGTCTGTAGCAATCATGCTGATGACTCATACACAGACAGCACACACACATATACACACACAAAATCCTATTCACTGAGGCAGCTCTGTATTCTTTTTGACTTTTTACCTGCATGCACACAGATAAAACCATGGCCAAAACAACGCAAGGAAGAAAAGGGATAAAAAAAAAGGTAAGCTCTAACCGTCTGTCTATCGTTGCGTTCAGGGCGAGTGGGACTGGGGTGCGGGCGCCTTCCCCGTCTCTCCTCACTTGTCCCCCGCCGTCGCCCACTGCGCATGGGCATCTGCAAAACCCAAAAGTCCAGCAGAAAAGGAAAATAAGGAGGGAAGATGACAGAATAAAATGTTAGAGCAGGACAGTATGCACAAAAATATGAAGATGCGGGGATTGTAGTAAAAAAGAGTAAACGCAAACCAAAGGAATGTCAAGTTCATTTAATTCAAGATGGAATGCACTAAGGGCAAAAAAAAAGCGGAGTATAAAATGGGAGGGGGAGACACAAGGGAGAATAGAAAGAAGGCAGGAGGACACATAGAAGACAGGAGATTTTTTAAGCAGTGGGAAAGAGTAAAATATCAACATGGGATCTCACAACCAAAGAAAAATAATTTACATGTTAGTCATGCTGGTTATTTTTTTAAATAATATCACATACTGAACTAATTATGAGTCAGCCAAAGTAACAATAATTAGGCAGGTAAACAATCCCTGACATCACAGGGAAAATAGACAAAGACCTAGTTCATACCGATTCTTTGTGTGTCCGTGTTTTCATTTTTTCTTCTTTAAAACGTCCATTTTACGACACAAGCCATTGCAGGCAATGAACTGGTTTCTGTTGCTTACTGACTGGGCTATGTGTTACACCATGAGAGCTACCAAAACCTGTAAAGAAGCAAAAACAATAAAGGCATTATTCAGTCTTTATCAGCATATATGTCCAACAGACAATTCACTATTTTGCAAAAGAATCATGTAAGGAATAAGTAATGTTGTTTTATGTGATAGAAAAAATGCAATTAAAAAAAGCTCCAGTATAGAGCATGAAATTCCATAAACACTATATTTATAAAATGTATTGTCCCATTGTACAAGACCTCTTTCGATCAGTGTGCTCATTCTGCAAAGGGGGCAAAACTTTGGAACTCTCGGTCTACTAATTTAATAACGACAGACTTTTAGTGATGCTTTGAACAGAGGACTCAAACAATGGAGGAAATCAAAACAACAGTGCTCACATGAAGATTACAACTGGTTGATTGATTATGTTGCCTTTGTTCTATAGCTCATTTACAGTATGTATTTAATTTAGAACATAGTGCTTCTCTTTTTGTCCTTGTACAACTTCTGTACATTTGTCTGTCTCTTCTTTTCTATCTATCTATCTATCTATAACCATCAGTTAAGCCTTATTTAGGTTTGGTGGAGGGCAAGCATTTTTAAAACTCTAACTATGAAACCACATATGCACTGTTACAATATTCATATTCCCAGCATGCTTCACAATGTGTTGGCAAAACTGCTTTTCACTGTCCACTGTTTCCTCCCTGCCTTCTTTCTCCACCACAGAAGAAAAAAAAAACCACAGGCACCATAGGTTAACCAACAAGCTGATTGGTGTGATTGACTGATAGGTGTAACATTGAAACAATAGTAATTAAGATCCGAGCAGAAAGGGTGTGGACTAGTGTGTTCCATGCTAGCAGTAGGTTTGCAGAAGCGTCCAGCAAACATCTTGGCGATACAGGGCCACACCCCCTCCTCCTTCCACCTTCACCACAACAACCCAAACCCACAGCCACTTGTGGTTAACCCCGGTGACCTGCTCATGGTCAACATCATCACATGCTTATTTATCCAGCCAACTAGCCATTAGAGAAATGCACAATGACAAGATCCTTTATCTATTTGGATGTGCATGACAACACATGTAGACTACTTTGTGAGTGTCTGTCTTATCCATTCATTCATGTACCTCTATGATGAAAAAATAGCTCATGTATATTGAATGAGGATAAAAATAGTGCACACCACTGGATGAAAAAAAAGATATTTTTGGCAGAGAGGCGAGTAGAGCTGCTCTCTATATGCAGCATTATATGCAGTAGCTACACAGATTTGTATGCGTGTGTGTTTGATTCAAAGCAGACAAGCTCCTGTAAATCCTGTAGCAGCTCCACTACACATGGCTATGCATTAATTAATAGTGCATGCTGCAGTGACTGACTCAGTCAGTCTGAAGAGTAAAATCTTCACATTTCACACTTCATGTGCATAATAGAATAAGATGACACATGTATTTACAGGCTATGCATGTCAGCCTGTATTTAACAAACTCATAACTAAGTTAATCACACATGAATAGACAACATTGGGTGCCCAGTGGGTTACTGTATACATGAAGCTTCTCAGTTACAGGTGGCAGCCACTGGCCCGTCTGTGGTCCATTGGCAGGTCCTCAGGCATGTTCAGTAAACAAATAGGATGCAAACACTGCTTTAACATCACCTGCCCCTCTGCACGCACAAACATGCATATAGGAGCATGAATTCTCAACAAATTGTCCCCTGCATGTGATGCAAAGCAGCAGCATGCAGTTGCTGTGCTTACATCAGCAGCGAGCAGGCACTGCAACGATTCTTTCTTCTTTCTTCTTCCTGCGAATGTTATTGATACACATGCAGAGGAGACCGGCCAAAGCTGCTCTCTATTAGGCTGCCTCAGACTAACCCCGGCGGCACACAGGGAGTCGTGTTCGGCAGCACATACATGTTTCACAATCAGAAAAGATGCATGTGCAGCAGCAGCAGCAGCAGCAGCAGCAGCAGTGCTGTTTGTAGACGCTGCACATATAAAAAAAAAGAAAGATGACATGGAATGGCGAATCATGGCATTTCGCACCGGCTCTCCTTTCCCTTTCCTTGCTGGAATGTGGTTGCGCGTCGTGCACATTACCAGCATTAATTCACCGGGACATAATCGGCCATAACGCAGGAGTATGATAATAATTAACGCACAAAGGAAAAAGGAAAAAATGGGAGGGAGAGCACAAACGTGGCCAACAGGAATACCTCCAAACACAGAGCATAAGCATCCATTTTTTCTTCCCCTTACCTATAATATCCAGCGATGCGTGCTCTCACTCTCCCTTTCCTTTCTCTCCCTCTGTTTTGTCGTTTTATGTTGCACGCTGACACGCACACCTCACAGTCAAGGCGTCTGTCAACAGAAGCTCGTGCAGGCTCATATTGCAACGGGCTCCGATCATAACAATAATGCAGAAGAAAATCTCTTCCTATTCGTTGCAGGAAAGAAAAAACAGGGGTGCCAACTGAAGACTACAAATTGATGCGTACCCTCGCCTCTTCCCCACCCCCTTTCGCCCCCTTTTTTCTTTTTTTTTTGTGCCCCCCCCTCTCCCACCCTACCTACTCTCCCTCTTCCTCTAAGACGACTTGCACTTTTTTTTTTATACCCCCCTCTCCGGTCTTACAGTCACAATTTTTTTTTTTTTTAGCGGAGGGGTGAGCTGTAGAGAGTGATGCACGTCGGGTGCGAGAAAGGGAGAGAGGAGAGGGCGTGATTTGCATGTGGAGAGAGGGGGAGGCTAGAGAAGGAGGAGGAGGAGGAGGAGGAGGAGAAGGAGGAAGAGAGGCGCAGAGAGAGGGCCAAAACTCTGAAGAGGGAGGGGATCAAGAGGGAGGGTCTCTCTCCGTCTCTGTTGCCTAGTCCCTCCAGAGTCACCTTTACTGTATGGAGAGGCTATGCTTTAGACACAATAACTAGCTCTGTGCCTTTTTTTTAAAAAAAGAAGAGCAGGAAATGTCCCTTAGGTCTTTGTTTGTGAAGGCCCCTCTTACTTAAACGCATAGCATACTGTAAGGTGGTGCAAAAAAAAAAAGAAGAAGATAACATATTTGAAGCCTACCTAATTGTGCCAGCGTTTTAATAACAATGTCAACCACTCAACAAAGAAAGCTCCAACTCGTGTGGAATAACTAAGCATTGGTCAACATATGAACGATTAAACCGTGGGCCTACTGTTATGCTGTCTGTCTGTCTGCCTATCTGTCTGTCTATCTGTGAAAAGCTTGTAGCGGTGTGTCCAGTCAAGCGGCTCTGCAGACCTCCCCCTCCTCCCCTCCGCTTCTCCCCCCCCCCCCCCCTCTCTCTCTCTCTTTCTCCCCTTCACGCAGCCCCCTGTCCCGTCTCCTATTGTGTTGTAACCATGGGAACCGGGCCGGAGACTGTATCGGTTGCGCCTGCGCGGCTCCAGCCTTCCTTCATCATCATCATCATCATCACCAGCAGCCCAGCTCGCGCTCCCTCTGCCGCTTAACCCGTGCAACGAAGACCAGGCCAGCGCGTGCAGCTGATAATTGATAATAAAATGCTAATAATTGATGAGTTTTGGGCGCAACCTTGCAATGCAGATGACGCACTTGTTTTTAATCATGGACAGGTTTTAGCTCATGTTTCTCCTATTAGCCTATATGTAGATTGTAGAAATAAACACAATATAACTTAAACAATTATAGTACAGCCAATTTAAAAATATATATATCTATCTATAATTGTATATACAAAAATGTCATATACATTATGCATAAATTCACATCTCTTGTCTTCTGGTTTCATTTTGAAATGAGGTCATATTAACTAAATGTTAAATGTTTTTTTTTCTTATTTTAGCCTATTCAATGTATTCTTACAGTGGAAATATGTTTCCTTTTATGCTACAAAGGAAGCTTTTAAGACAATTTGTAGCCACAGTTTTTGAGTTATATAAAGAGCAGCACTGACAATGTTAATAATTGTTGTACTTCTCACTCTTCTTTTTGTGAGTGAGTGAGTTTATGTTACGGCTTTTCTGTAAAACGGCAAGTACATTACAAGTACATTAGACTGTGACTCATTGATATCATAGATTTTTATAGATCCTTAGCTATACAGTCATGAACCTGCATTCACAAAATGACAAGAGCAGGTGGATGGATTATGGCTTTTGTTGCTGGAATCATGCAGGAACTATCACAGCATATTCCAGAAGAACATTCTTAGATATTCCTTCAAGATTAAAAAAAAAAAAAAGAAGACCATTCTCGCAGAAATATATAAGCTGGAACGGCCTATACTTTTTTTTTTTTTTTTTTTGGATAACCTGTTGTGACATCCAATTTTAGCATAACCAGAAGTAAAACATGCTCGAATAGTTCTATATTTTAAGGGGAAACTGCAGAGGAGGGTTATGGATTCAAGCCAAACATGACTCAGTTATTTTTTAGCTTCTCAGCAAGAGAGGAGGTTACATAGCAGTTCTTCCCATTTTAATTAAAACACAGAAAGCTTTGGGTCATGTTAATATGTCCATTTCTTTATTGAGCTTAACAGCAGACAAAGTAACACACACGCAATGGAAGAGGCAAAAGAGGAAACACAGGACACTAAAGTTCAAAAACACACTTGTGCAGTGAGAGGGTCAAAGGGATCAGGAAAAGTGCTCGTCTGCTTGAAGGTGAAACACTGATTTTATTTCGCCTCAAAGCTTGGTGTAGGATTTGCTGCAACCAGATTTAGTCAGTTATCAGCTACTGAAGCATCAGGTCAACATATTGCACTTCAGTGATTTCAGTTATGTGAAAACTAATTATTCTTAATTCTCTGACGTATAGATTAGTTTGTTAAAAGCTCTGCTGAAATAAGTGTTATTACATAATTATATATCTGTCAGGGAAATATATATGATTTGTATGTATGTATTTTTTCTTGTTTGCCACTGCTAAGGGCACTCAAAGGGCACTGGGGTTGCGAAAGTTATGTCCAGCAAAGCGGGCCTGGTCACCCAACTCTTCCTCAATCCTGAGAGGTAGAGGATGTGGGGAAGAAAAACAGAGAGAAATGTAGAGAAAGCAGAGAAATGGGGGAAGAGCATTAGAGCAGATGAAACAAAGAAGGAAAAAGGAAGAGACATATGAAAGAAACTCAAAGTCATGACAAGATCATCTGCATGTATCTTTAATCAAATACATTTTTTAAAAATACGCACCTCATGAGCTGATTGTATTTTGCCAGACGTTCTGAGCGACAGGGAGCTCCAGTCTTGATCTGAAGAGATAAAAACACCAAAGAAAGTTTGAGGTGTGAACACTAAACTTTTTAATTAGTCTGTAAAACTTCTGTATGTTCGGAATGCATTGCCACCAGAAGTATTCATTTCATAGAGGTGCAAGGTTCTGTTTGATTTGTGTTTTGTTGCTTTACCCAGAAAATGTCATCGTTTTTGTTTTGTTTTTACAAATGTACATTGCAATGACTCAAATGAAGATCACCTGTCCAGTGCAGAGACCGACCACCAGGTCAGCTATAAAAGTGTCCTCCGTTTCTCCTGAGCGGTGGCTCACCATCACACCCCAGCCGTTTTCCTGGGGCCAGCTTACATCTGAGAGGCAGGGTGAGAACAAAGGTTATGCAGGCATGAACACACACCCATACTTCTGCCCATATCTATGCATCAAATACACACACACACACACACACACACACACACACATACACACACTCACACACACATACACTCAACTCACGCCTTGATGGCCTCAGTTACTGAGCCAATTTGGTTGACCTTAAGCAGCAAGCAGTTGCAGGCCTTGTCCTCCACTGCTCGTTGTATCCTGCGCGGATTAGTGACCGTCAGATCATCTCCAACCACCTGCACAATTTATACAACAAGGTCAAGGAAACAATGAGGCACATTTTTTTGACTTATAGAGTAAAATTAAGTATGAAGTCCAATCAACTTAACTTAAAATATTAACATTTGTGATTTCCCTACGTACAGATGCATCTAGCTATGATTTTTCACATTTACAGCATAAGCCAATGATATAAATAGATAACTGCACAGATTTTAAACATATAGATCCGATTGTTGTCTGAGTTGTGAGTTTGGTGAAGTTGTTACTCACCACGCATGGAGAGTTAATTTAAAAAAAAGGCCAGCTTTTGCAGTGCTTCTAGCCCATAAAATTTAGACATCTTAACCTCCACAGTATCCTTCCTTTTCTTGGATGAGAGTGCAACACTCAAATGCTTGAGTTCTCCTTTAGGAACCATCTCAACTGAAAAAAAGAAAGGAAAATGTGTGTCTTACCTGAATGCCCACTGAGGCTGTGAACTGTGACCAAGCAGGCCAGTCATCCTGGTCAAAAGGATCTTCAATAGACACCACTGAGGAAAAAAGTGAAAAGGTCAGAAATGTTCTCTTTTCTGCTATCCCTCTAATGATATGAGCTGCTTGAAAATGGCAATTTTTTTCATTACTAACCTACAAGTCAATAGGATTCGAGCACCATTGACACTGGCAATAAAGGTTCTAATGGGAGAAATGTCTTAAAAGGCACTCACATTACCCAGATGCACACACGCTCTTGCCCACACAAGCAGGAAGCACACCATTGACAGGGTAAAGAGCCACATCAGAGTGGGTCCCCGCTTGCCAAATGTGCACTGTAGCGCATAATTAAAACCTCTTTAACAGGCACAAGTGTCAGGAGGAGAGAGCAGGCTGTGGAGACATCAGGCTCTCTTGTTCTCTCAGTTTCTCTGACCGCAGAGGTGATGAAAGATAGAAGGTGATTGTAGAAATGTGGGAAAATAAACAGATGTATCCATTTACTGGTAATGAATCAATCAGCTATTGACACTGATGTAGTCTCTCTATGGATCTATGCTTTGAGGTCAGTGTTTAATATTCTCCTTATTTAAGCGATGCTGTGCAGTTAAACTGAATATCAGCAAGGCTTAAGGTCAGTCATAGGATAGATAATTATTACAACTGTGCTGATATTTAGTACAACAGAATGTGTGATATTATTACTTTGGAACTGGTCAGTTGCCAGTCAAAAAATAAACAATTTAGGGCACCGGTTAAACCTAGTGGTTCTAGCATGCGTCCCATGTGCAGAGCCTGAAGTCCTCACAGTCATCTCGGGTTCGGGTCTGATACCTGACAGTTTCCACATGTCCCCTCCTGTCACATCTAGTAAAGGCACAAATGGCCCAAAAAATCGTTTGAAGAAAATTATAATTCTGCACTCTTGCTACTTTGTTTCTGTCTACACATTACTGCAGATCAGCTCTCTTGTTTTACACACATTTTTGTGGATCTTTCTTTTTATGGTGCATCAGTGAAATAAGACTCTGTAAATAAACTCAAGAGTCCCAGTGCTGTTACACTCCATATCAGCGCTCATGGAATGCCTCTCGTCAAATCAGATCGTCCTATAAAGGTCCATATTGATTACAGTTGGTCCACATCATGTGCTCTGTGGAACTCTACCATGAGTAAAAGAAATAGTAAGTATATTGAACTAATTCTGTCACATATACAAGTCAGAATACACACCTGGGTAGTTGTTAATGAATCCCTGGTAGATGCTCGCCAGCTCATCAGCACTGATGTTGCGGGCTGCATTTGGTGGAGACTTAAAGTCCAGATCGTACTTGCCCTCGATGAAAAACTCTGAAGCGGCAACATCCATCCCTATCACCACTTTGTCTGTGAAGCCAGCTTTCTCTATGGCTGTCTTGATCAACTCCAGAGCTGAAGGAGAGAAACAGAACGGTGTAAGATAACATCAATGGAAATACAGGAAAAATCATTTAGATTTAGGATGCACTTACCTTCACTGTTCTCTTGAATATTGGGGGCAAACCCTCCTTCATCTCCCACATTTGTAGCATCCTGACCATATTTCTCCTTGATGACACCTCTCAGTGTCTGGTAGAGCTCTGCCCCTACACGTAGTGCATCACGGAAAGACTCTGCCCCGACAGGAAGTACCATGAACTCCTGCATGGCCAGCCTGTTACCAGCATGTGAGCCCCCATTGATCACATTAAAAGCCTAAAATAAGGAATAGATAAGTGAGATGCAATTCTGTTTTTGTTTTTTTTGTGTTTGAAAGATTTGCATTTTTTACACTCACGGGAACTGGGAGCACCAACTCGCTGTTTCCTGCCAGATCAGCAATGTGACGGTACAAGGGGACACCTTTCTCTGCTGCTCCAGCCTTGCATATGGCCAGTGATACTCCAAGAATAGAATTGGCCCCAAACTTAGCTGGGAGAAAGGCAGAAGCAGTCAGTGGCCACTGGTGCAGAAACATGCCATTGCACATGCATGTCACCAGCGTACAGAAGATGTGAATGATGCTTACATTTGTTGTCAGTGCCGTCCATTTCAATCATCAGGTTGTCCAGTTTCCCTTGCTCCAACACATTAATCCCCTGAAAGACAAACAGGTTTATTTTATATCCTTCTCACATTTCTGTGTTACATTAAGAAAAATCTGCACTACTACTTACAGACTGGATGAGTGCAGGTCCAATGGTGTCATTAATGTGATTTACAGCTTTGGTTACACCTGAGACAGAAGGGGATATGTTGGGACACCTAATATCACTCATATTTTCCTCAGAGCAAAACCAGTGACAGTCAGAGAGAGAACATGAAAAGAAAGACACATATGTCGTGTTTTTTGACAAGTATTCACCTTTGCCCTTGTAGCGGGTTTTGTCTCCATCACGGAGCTCCAGAGCCTCATAGATGCCAGTGGACGCTCCACTGGGCACAGCAGCCCTGAACAGACCTGGAATTTGAGAAAAAAAAAAGTGAAAGGTTGAGGAGGCAGGGGCGAATGTAGGTTTACATATCAATACATATAGAAAAATATCCATTTTGGTATGAGCTCTTCATTTATTTTACTGCAATGTTTTTATATTGTTTTGTTCAGATTTTTGAACTCTGTTTTTGATTTTGATTTGACTGCAGTGTTGTCCTTGTTTATGTTGTCTTCTGTGTGCCCTGGTGGGACAATAAAGCAAAGTAAACAGTTATACAACGTGTTTATAATGCTTTAGAATGTAAGCTTTTTTAACCTTTGCCAGTATGCAGATCCACTTCCACAGTTGGGTTTCCCCTGGAGTCCAGGATCTCCCTGGCAACAATATTCACTATGGACATCCTGTAAAAAGAAAAGGAAAAAAAAAAAGCTTTATATATCAATTTCTATTGCACATTACATGTCAAGGCTCAGTCACAAAAATTGTACTAGTTTTTTCTATATTTCATGAAAACAGGAAAGTAGGGGAAAGGGAAGGCGTATGCAGAGACGGATGAAAATATCACACATCAAATTCACTGTTAATACTGCAGCGTTAAGGTGCCTTATTTTCATATTAGACGATTATTTTAATCTCTCTTCCTCACATGCACACACACTGTGATGATAGTGACGCAGCCTTAAGGATGGATGCCATTTCAAAAAGATGCTTCAAGGAAGATGCTTGCACATACACACACACACACACACACAAACAACAAATATACAGCAAAGAGAATATAAATAGAATATAAATCAAAAGCTAATAACCCCTACCTATTTATGCATCTACTGTCACCCTGTTTCAGACCACAACACAACTCAATTTTCTGTCAGTGACAGAGAACACGGACCAATGGAGATGAGGTGGTGTGAAAACAGGCGATCAGCAGAAGGGAGGGATGAAGATGGAGGAGGCTGAGAAGGATGGAGAGGAAATATAGAAAGAGATCAATCGTTTTGAACGTTACCTGCAGCGTGTTAGAAGCCTTGTGGAGAAAGTGAGCGATTGTGGCCGAAAGAGAGGCAGAGATGGAGAGACGGGGAGGTGGGAGGAGAAGGGGTGAAACCATATGACACACCGGGGGGAGGGGGAACGTGTGAGTCATTGGAAGATGCAGAGAGGAGGGGAGGGAGCGTAACAAGGAGAGGAGGGGAAAAAAAGGGAAGGTGGAAAGGAGGGTAGAGGAGAATAGCAGAGGTTACAGGGTTTTTTTTGTTTGTCTTTCAAAGATGCAGAGAATTAAAGGGCAGAGGAATAGCTAGCCAAGATGTGTTGTGATTGCACTCTTTTTTTCTGATTCCTATTCAGACTTTTAACATCATCATCCTCACTTCCTGCAAACCCTGCAGTTCACTTGGCACTGCTTGCTGTGTGTACATCTGCTAATTTGCTAACCAGCCGCCAAATCACTCATGACGTGTGCAAATATTGTCTCAGCAAACTGCTAACATGAAAAGCTAAATTGTGGTTGCTGACAAATTCAGACTATGCGATTCTCCTGCAGAGAATGACATAACTGGCTGAAAAGAGCAAAATATGGAGATGAACACGTGTATACTTCAGATGAGGTTGACAGGCAAAAAATATCCAAAGAAAGACATGATGAGAGGGGTATATCTAAGCAGAGACAGCTGCACAAAGTGAGCTACCTTGGTGGAGAACATGAGAGATCTTGTGATGGGGATTAAAGCAGACAAGAAGACAGGTGACAGGAGCAGTGCATGCTGGAGCGGGGACGTGCATTTAAAAATAGTCCAGGATATAATTAAAGATACAGCTAGATAAAACAGAAGGAGGCAGAAAAGGAGCCTGCTATGGGAGTGATTTGTCAAGAGTATGCTTTTCATTGGCTAATCCACTTCAGTGCTCCACCTAGATGTCACATCCCCAGCAGACTCAAGGAAGAGGGAGCACACAAACACATGCACACACAGATGGGGGAAAATATTCATCTACAGCAGCAGATTAAGAGATTAGCAGAATTTACAGCTGCCGAGAAAAAAATAATTTAAACAATCATGTAGGCGTAAAGAAGAACCTTCGCTTGAATGATTTAATTATATATAAAGAATGGCTTTGAAACTGTACATTGATAAATTGAACAATTCAGTATTTAAAAACACCCATTTCAGACATGCAGTTGAAAACACAGCCACAACAGAGACACCATTTGTAATTATCTAACAATGTTTAATGAACTTTTATTTAGTTAGATTAATTAGTTAACAGTATACAATTCAATTCACTGACACACTAGTGCCTTCACAAACATAAAATGGACTGTACAGCAGATGTACTGTATACTGAAGCACTTTAGTGCAGCGGGCAGAACACATGTCAAGTTTTCAGAATGAGTATATATAAAGTGAGTGTAGTTAGACCCATGTTTGCACCAGGGTGCCACTGTGTGTGCATGTTTGTGTCTGAGTAATAGAGCTTTAAATGTAACTATCACTTGTGTGTGTGTGTGTGTGTGTGTGTGTGTGGTCTGGTGGTATGTTTGTGTGTCTGTGTTTATGTAGAGACAGTCCAGTCATATCAAACATTTACGACGGGGCAGTTGTGAAGTTCATCAACTTCCGTCTCAAGCGTGGTTCACAGCATCGAGGTGATTTTCCCTCAACTCCTTCCATCTGGTCGCCAAGGTGTGACACCTGCAGGGAGAGCCAACCAAGGCCCAATGTGTTTAAAAAGACAGGAGAGCAAAGGTAGAATCAGCAGAGTGTTTTGCACTGAAAGGAATGCCAAATGATAATCACAGAAAACTTATGTTACATTTCTGACGGTATAAAAACTTTAGGAGCACTTTCTCATATGTTGACTGTTATTATGACCCAAAACATAAGATGGGTATAGATTAATAACACACATTTTTTGCATTTGCAGCACAGTCTTTGTACAAATATTCATCATGCAATAAATGCAGAAATTCTACAAAATGTGTATCGATCAGCGCAATGAAGTTAATGAGACCAGTCTCATTACCGACTCAGTCATTAAACATGCACGATTACTCTTAATGTACACTGTATAAGAGCCTCTAAGTACATTGTTTTACCATAAAGAATCAGCATTGTATTATTATTAAGGTGCCTGCCAAGGCTCTATTTAAAAAGGACAATACTCTAAAACTGATCGACATTCAAAGATCCAAATCTAAAATAACATCTAGCTCTTGATTAAAGAGAAAAGAAAAATAAATAAATATGTTGTGTCAATTTTTGTGAAATGTTTTGCTTTTATTGGTCTGCATACTTTAACCAACAGTACTTTCACACCTACACAACACTCCTGATACCTGCAGGAGGAGCTGCATGTAGGAACACAAACTGTCACTCAGACTTTATACAGAGTTTCTCCTGCCAGCCCCCGTGTATTCTTTCTGCAGAAAGTCCCAGTGAGCTGACAGACTGTCTGCATGCGACTGGTACGATCTTTATGTACGAAATTAAACGTCTGAACTATATTTTCTGCTCTTGGACTTTGACGCTCTTTTGTTGATATTCTGATTCTGTCAAAGTACAGACAGAATTGATATAAAGGCAAATAGTCTCATTATAGCGTCGCATTGCGGACTCTGTTGCTTCGTCTGCCACTATCACGTCATTCTATGACGTCTTGCCTCAGGAGACTCCCGTCCGACCTGGATAGTCTCCCGCTGCGAGGAACATGTGTGAACAACCTGATCAGATGGATTTCGGGAGCAGTCCACCTGAAATTCTCTGGAAATTTTCACGGCTAAATACACAAGTTATTGATCGTACGAGTAATTGTTGTGTTCAAAATTGAGAGCCAGATCCTCAATCAGTCTTTACTTTATTCACTCCTGACCGGAGAATCAAGGTTATCAATATTCTGCACTCCTGCTCTCCCTTACCTCTCACCAGTCGTAACGTGGGCGGGGTTGGGGCTGGCGGTGTCTGGGGGACTCGTGCCGATGGGCTGTTGGGGGTGTTGAGCTAGGAGGGGCAGGAAGGGCCAGATGCTGGCCTCCTCCACGTCGATCTCGGCCATACTCAAGTGCCCGTGCGTTTGGGGGAACGTATCTTCCTGCCTGACATCTCCACTCCTCGTCGAATGCTGCAGCATCAGCTGGTGGAAACAAATGAGCAGCTTTATAAACCTTTGATATATTAAAATAACATAGCAGGCCTTTATTGTTCAGCCACATGAACTGTGCACCTACTTAATTATCCTCCAAAAAAACACAGGTAAAATTCTCATAAGATTTTGAAAAGAATGGCAATAAACAGTCACTGTCTGGAATCGATGGCTTACTCTCATCTAGGTTAATGTAGTCTTGTCTTTCTTCGCGGTCTCCAGTGCGGCGATTTCGCGAACGCTCCATTATGTGTGCACGCTCTCCAATGTGGTGGCCGATAGCTAGACGCTCGAGGCCGCTCTCACTGTCCCTCATGGACTGCCGCGTCTCTCGGATCTAAGGTAAAACAAAAAAAAAAAACTGCATTTACTAAAACCATCAGGATGTTTGGCACTCTGAATGAACTCATGCTGAAGTGTTTGCATGAACACAATGTTATTTATACTACACATGATCTATTTATTGTCACGACATTTACATGGGATCTTGTGTGTTAATGAGGCCGTAACACCTCAGTCATGCCTGAACAAACAAAGCGTGAAGTCAGCATGTTCACTCAGGCTTGCTCTTCAAGTCTACTTACGTGGAAGTAACCAAAAACACTCCCAGCATGCACTGTAATCATTTTAACAGCTGTCAGTTAATCTCACCCCTCCAGGGCCTGTTCTTGTCTCACTAGTCTGCTGATAAACTTCAGGAGCCCCGCAGTCTGTGGACGAGTAGGAGATCACTGTTGAGGAGGAGAACGTCTGACAGTTTGGGGAACCGGACATTCTTTCCTTTAAGAAGAAAAAGAAGAGAAAGAAACACAGAAGGTGAGGTGGTGTCCTGTGAGTTTTCATTCATGAGGGTAATTACTTTCTGTTTATTTGATATTGGTTGAAATAACTTCTCACCATGCCTCCCATCATTTCTCCCATCATGCCAAACATATCCATGAATCCTCCTCCACCCTGCGGAAATAAATGAGGGAAAACATCTTAATGTTCATTACAATGAAACAATCACGTGTAAGGTCTGTCAGTGCAAGGTCACCACATTATCTCCAGAGTCAAAAGATGCATTAAATACAGCTTTAATGCCCTAACAAACATCTTGATTATAAAATAAATGATTGGTTGCTTGTCCATTGATTTCTAGTAAAAGAAAATAGGGTGATGGTGATTAAGAAAGGAAAGAAAAGTCAACTGATCTTTTACACTGAGCATATCTTTGTAAAGTCTGGGAACCCCAACTTTAATTGAACCATAATCTAGGCCCACCTGAAGCTGGATCTAAATTTCCACCCTGTTTTAGTTATTCTAAAACACATTGACTGCTTTTACACATATGAAGAGAGGTCATTGAGGCAGATACTCACCATTCCCATCATGCCAAAGGGGGCCAGTGGACCAGCCTAGAAGAAAAAGAATGCACCATAAAAACTTACAATATATCAGATAAACTTTGAGGTTCACAAACAAACCAAACACAAACAAACAAGGGGTCATTCTGTAAACAAAACACACCGTTACTTGTCTGCGAGGTGCACGTGGCTGTATTTGGGGGGCAAGAGCGAAGGGGTCCATGCCAAATGGTCCAAAGAGAACCCTCATCTGCTGCCTGTGAGCTGCGAAGGGATCCCCTGGAAGAAAGCACAGTTCCTAGTGAAACTTTTTGACTTCTTATGATGCTTTTTAATTGACCGGGTTGAAGAATCACACGGGTTTGTGAGTGCAGACTGAAAAGGATGTGAGGGGAAAAGTTTGTCAAACATAATTACAGAACTCAAATAGAACTCACATAGGCTTGAATAGAGACGCTAAATTCTGTTCTGACCCAAGTAAAATATTTCTAAAAATGAATAGTGTCAATTATAATTGTATCATTTATAAACTGTGTCTAATAAGTCTGGTGTATTGGTATTGCTACATTTTTAATGACAATTGATTTTGTAAAAAGTAACATTGTTCTTTTTTTTTTTTTTTTTTTTTAAACAAAATGTATCTTTCTCAAAGTGAGGCAATGTAAACAAAGTATCCTTTTCTTCTATTGGGGCTGTGTAGGTTTGCATAATGACCCAAACATGAAATGATACTTCACCCACATACCTCTTGGAACAGGTTTATCTGAACCCCTTTATGCCTCCCACAGACTCCTTCACATTCTTTTACATTTATTTCAAGTCACACTGTGCAACACAGATATCATAATGTTGGTTACAGCATGCATGTACACACTGCTTTGAGGTACCGAGTGAATCGTAGACCGCTAGGGCAGGTCAACACGCAGCGTCAATAGTCTCTGCAGTGTGAATCAACCTGATCGAGCTGAGGTTGCCATGGCAGTCAACTGAAAGCCCTTGCCATTTTGGCGTTTATGTCTTTACAGAATAAAAGAAAAAGAGGGTAAATAGAAAAATATGGACACGGTAGTGGCAACACTTGGGATGCCAGTGTTTCAAAGAGCGCTTGAAGTAAGTCACGTTATTGTTAGTCTACGATTTCAGCGGCTTCAACACCTTTGTGAACGCGCTAATTAGTGCGTCATTTCATGCTGCTTTTTTTATTTGTAATTAGTAAGTAACTTTCATTGTGGTGCTTTCCAAATAAAATTGACATTACCATGTGTGCATGTGAACTTGTATATTCATACACAAGAACTAATCTCTGTTATTGATTGTAGGCCATATTGATTTAATTTTATTGCAGCTGGATGTAGGCTATCACTGGACCACGCAATGTGGGTTAAGGCAGGTGTGTCCACAAACTCTCAGCTTTAGCTCGCCAGTTAAGCAGATACCAAGCATATAAAAAGTGTCAGAAAATCACAGACCAAATTTATAGGAAAACATGACAGAAAATGTGCAGCAATGTGTTGAATTATATGCCAGGTGGCGTATGATGCATGAGGCCCATTAGGCCTCAAGGCACAGGAGAGCCACAACTGCATTGTGTCTACACTCCTCACTAGAGGTAGTCCTCATACTAATCTAATGCCTTATGTAGTATTTATACTAACCAACCTATCCGACCTAGGACATCACAAATTCAGCACTCATTGATAGCTGTAGGTTGTTTGATCAGATATCTTAAAATTATGCTCAACAAAGCTAAAGCTCATGCAAACACACACACACACACACACAACATCTGGGCCAAGTGGAGGAAAGTAGGCAACATCAAAGCCTGTGAATAAGTTACAAGTTATAAGTTTAGGTAGCTTGGTCAAAAGTTGGTGTTCATGAAGAAAATGTTTCACACACTTTCCATTATTCCGTAGCTGGAGTTCAGAACACCTGTACATGCACACATCACTCCTCATGTGCCAGTCGTTGATGTGCACTGATGGCCAAGAGGACCTCATGGCTGACTACTGACGCCTCACAGGCCTTGTTACATGAGGTACATGTACTGGTCACTGTCTACTGGTATGCACACAGCTTGTCATACCGTGTGGTGGCCCGGGTCTTTTTATGTCTCCAAGTCTACAGTCCACAACATGATGCACTCTTGAGTAGAGAAGGTAGCAGCCATTTGCCGGGGAGGTCATCAAGCTGCCCACTGCTGGAGACCTGGATGAGGTTGTCCAAGCATTTACTTGCCTGGCCGACAGTGCAGTGTTCTACAGATGTATGGGTGCCATGTCCACATGAAGACCCCCCCCCGGGGACCCAATGGCCAGGATAACCTCAACAGAAAGCTCTTCCCATCCATACAGCTGCAGGCAGTATGTGAAGGGGAGGGTTTCGTCATCAACATCTTTGTGGGGTATCCTGGCGCTGTCCACTTCACCAGAGTCTTGAAGAACAGCAGGATCTACAAAGAGGCTCTGTGTCCTCCCTCACAGTGCGACGTAGAACCAATGTTTTGGAGCCACGACCACAGATATTGCCATTGATTGATCATCTTTCGTCTGCGACAGCCCAAAATTGTACAGTCTGAACCTGGCATGAGGCTGATAACCAAGTCAGAATTCCCCCCGAACCAGCATTTGATGAGCTATAAAAGATTAACATGGCAACTAACAACTTTCAATTTATTGAATTCCCTTTTCATTCAATGAACAGCCTATACAATCTCAATATTATGATAATTATTTTAAAATAAAATAAACATACAGAGACAGCAATTTATCTCATTTATCGGGTTGGGACCGGTAATTGTTTGAGCAATTATTGCAAATTGACTTTACGTCAATTCACTGATAAATCAAACCACCTCATTCAATGTACATAATAAAGTTATTTCTACTTGTTTTATTTCAAATTACATATATAGGTTTGGATTTCCTATTCCTTTCTTCTCAAGATTATGGAAGGAGCTAAAAATAAAAATCAGACATGCATTTATAAGTAAATAATGAAATCTACAGAAAATTAATTAACACTTAACTTGACAATCAAATGCTACTAATAATACTTTGTGTTAGCAACTTCACATGTGTCTCGAATTTGATTATTTTCTTTTTCCACTCAAGTGAGGACAAGTATAAACTATAGTAGAAAAAAAAAAAAGCAACTCTGGACAGATATCACAAAGGCTGTTCTCTATTTTCAGACATTTAGGGTTAAACTATAGTTACATCAGAAAATCACAGGTGCATCAGGTGAATTCAAAATAACAATAATAAACTATGCTGATGCAGCAGGTTTGTAAAAGCAACCTGGACCTACATATAAACAACCTATTCCTCGCAGTTTCTTGCAAATGCCATCTGAAGCCATTTTATTTAGCAAACAGTGAAATGGTCAGCAATTGTCCGTATGCACTGGTCCTATGTGAGGATTATTCTGCAGCTTCTGTTACGTAAAGAAGTCCCGCGGGAGCTTGACTTTTAAATAACTTGCCACCTGTCACCAATTAGCTGAATTACAATCTCAAACTTTAATTGGGGGAAACAAGTTACATGAGAGATTAAAAATGTGTCACTTTTGCAACTGTTTGGATAACCAAGTCCTGTTGAGCTGACAGATTTTTTTTATTTTTTATTATTGTCTATCCAACATGGTGGACCCTTGTAGGCCCCCACAGCTGGCTAGGGTAACGTTATGTACCTGCTTAAGGCACACAGGGAAACGTGACTTAAAATACAGTCATTACATTTTAAATCGTTCTAAAAGAAGCTCTAAAAGATAACAGCGTCAAAAACAGACTGAATCGATATGACTACTTACATCATGTAGGGGTCGTCATCAACGTCATTCAAGTACCGAAACATGCTAGGTGATTTAACTCAGCTGGCTGATGCTAGCCAGCTAGCTAGGTAAACAGTCGTGTTGTTCAAGGATAAAACAGAATGAAGGAATCAAAGTCTTGTCAGGCCGAAACAGAGGACCTTTTACTGGCTCCCACGCCAAAATACTAAATCGCCACTGCTGTTTATCAAAGCAACAGACAGGTGACAGGCTCACTGGATAGTAAATTCCAGAAACCTGGACCAAACATGAAAACGGAAGTCGGTCCTCTGACAAAGAGAAGCGACACTACTGTCAGCTTAGCATCAGAGCTAACAACTGGGACTTCCGGTCTGCGTACTCTTCAAAATAAAGTATGTCCCGGGGCCAGCACCATCCGAATGATAATGATTTAAAATGTCGAGTATTGAAAGGCGATATATATATATATATATATATATATATATATATATATATATATATATAAACACAACGACCAACCTATGTTTTGCGACCTTTTGAAGAAAAAAAAATGCGTTTATTTACGCCTATGTTATTACAGTTCGTTTAAGCATTTCCTAAGGAGTTTATGAATATTCTTCATGAATATAATTATTTATATTTATTTTATTAGACCTGTGCAAGAATAACCTATGCATTTTTTGTGACTGCCCTATCAAAAAAATCTTATGTAGGCTAGGCTACATTTCTTTGCTTATTTGATGCCTCTGAATGAAATCATCTTGATCCTGCAAATACAGTAGTGTTCCCACTCATGCAACCAGTCCCAATTATGGAGGAACATATGCCTCTTTTAAAGATTATAGTTACATAGGCTCTTTATTTATAAATCCAGTTTATTCATTGCTAACTTTTATTGTGCTTTTGTTGATTTTTTTTTCTTCCAATATCTCTTTATTAATTTGACAGGTATCGTGATACAATAATCATTAAGGACAATTTTCTTTTTGGTAGCATGACACATACCCCCCCCACCCCTCCCCGCTTATACATACACACACGCAGACATGCACACACACATAGACACATAAATTACAATAACATAACCATACTAGGGGGCAAAAAGAAAAGACAAGCACAAAACACAAAAAAGAATAAAAATAAATAGAAAAGATAAAAAAAACACAAAAAAACACAAAAATAATATAATAATACTAAAGAAAAGTGATGATAATAATAAAAAAATATATAATTGTCAAATAAAAAACAACAATGATATAACAGTATCTATTCCTTCCTTCTTACATTGTTATACAAAGCATAGATAGAGAATCAACTGTCCTGTAGTGTCTTTTGTTGATTTCTATGTAACCTGATGTCTTTCTATGTGTCGTTTAGCCTTTTTCTGGGCAATGATTGCAATAAATTTAATTGAACTGAATCTAATTTCATAGAACAAAAATTATTAAGATTGAAGTGAAATAAATTGATCATTTTAGTTTTCTCAAGGGTTTTTACTCATTTTTGTGTCTTTGTATCTTCCTTTAAAAAAAACTTGATTTCTGTTAGTATGTGGGTTTTGTCATTGATGTAGCCTATTATAATTGTATCATGTTCCGTGTCTTGTTTTGTTAGGTTTTTAATAATAATAATAATAATAATAAAACATAATTTAAATTGCGATAATACATATCCACGAGTTAATCTTGATATAACCAAAATCTGACACAAATATTTAAGAAACATTTATGAAGTTATTTTTTTTAACTTGAGTTTGAACCGTGGTTTTGATGTTGTCCAGTAGGCGGCGGTGTTTCAACTCTGAAACATCTCTGAAACTGTGACGGCGGCTTGTCTCTTCTGCGCCTGCGCTTAAAGTAATTCGACCCTCAAACCCGGATGTAACCAACGCCTAACCTGTGTGAAGAAAAACGGTGAGTAGAGTTAGAAAAACAATCTCGAATAACTATATATGGTTTATTACACAATGGGAGACATGATGCTAAGTCCTCTTTACAACATTAAGTTCACACCGAAAGGAAAATCTTGTGTATTATCTATTTTTTTTGTTAAGTTTCCTGACGACAAAGCTTAATCCAGTTTTGGCTAACATCAATCTGCTTAATGTAGTTGTCGCGACTGTAGATTATCACCACCGATAGGCGTGTGTTGTGTGTGTTTTTTATACTAATATATTGCGCTGTTGCTAGTTTATTAGGTTAGCCAACCGAGGAAACGATTTAAAAGTTGTCAGCCACGGTAACACTTTGTTTTCTGATTTGAACTATCAGGGCTAACACAGTCCCTCAGGTCACTTTAAACAGACTCATCTCTAACAGATCGCTCTTTGTTCAATTTATATCTCTTACTTTTCTGTTTTTTTTTTTTTGTTTTTGTTTTTTTTACAGTTTCTATACATTTAGGCCTTCAGATTATCTAAGAAACTGCTTATTCAGCTGGCGTGCTTTTTAGTGTCGGCTTCTAAATCACTCTGTGCTAATAGGCCGTCGATCTCTGGTATGCAGCCGATGCGGAAGTGACTCACTGTCATCAATTATCTTTTTACATGCACATGCCACTTAAAAGACGATTTCATAACTCAGGCAGTGCTAACTATCTAGAATATCGCAAAATCAGTTGAATTAAGTAGAATCTAAGCAACTTATACCAGTATGTAGTAGACTGATACTAATCCTTTACATTTACTTAATATTCTACATTTGTTTCTTTTCTTTGTCACACAGCAAAAACATTTCCTATGTGTCATTATATGCAGCATGTTTTTTATTAAGCCTGTTTGGTTTTTGCAGTGCACCTGTATGTTACAGAGCATTAATCAAGAGTAGTTCATTGACAGGCAAAAAAAAAAAAAAAAGCAAAGGTTTAAAACTTTATGTGCTACTCAAAATCCTTTTATAGAAGCTATGAGACCTATACTGATAGGTATTTCATTTGATCGCTTATCCCATTCATACCAGTGAAGGTGAGCCTCTTAACAGAAAAATATCTCTCCATACATTCGATACAGCAGCTCTGCAAACTGAATTATCTAGAAAGGCCAATAAGTTGAACGCAGAAACAGACATTATAACTTTTAAATATAATTTATTGAAGGACTTTTGTCTTAGTCTCTCTTAGTCGTAGTACCTCAAATACTAAGAATTGAATGTTAATTCTTAGTATGTTAAACATGTCAAATCTTAAACTAAAAAATAATGAATAACGGTAGCTTCCTAAATAGTTGCATTTGTTGCAAAAAAAAAAAAAAGAATATAATGCATTTAAGAACCATCATAATATTGTGGCAGTGCTATATGAAACACATTTTTATTCCTCATATCACTTTGTCAAAATTTGTACAAAAAGTTAAACTGCTGGGGTGCTGGTAGTGGTTATTGGTCGCACCCCACGTACAGAGGTCATATAGTCCTCCAAGTGGGCGGCCCGGGTTCGAATCTGACCCGTGGCTCCTTTCCTGCATGTCATTCTCCACTCCTTCTCTCCCTCATTTCTGACTATATCCACTGTGCCGTTGTTCAAGTGTTGGTCATTATTGATATCATAATCATACTATTATTATCAAAAGTCAAAGTTGTCAAAATGTCCCTCTGAGTGTTGTAATACTTTTTCTCATAATGTTTGAATTACCAGTACTGATGAATAATTGTGCACAATACAGAGATGTAAAGAAACAGTCTTTTTAGCTGCTTTTAACTACGTTGGGTGATTTAATTTGTACATCTTTCAAACACATTAATGACGTTTCCTTTGTTGTCTTTCTCCCTGTAGATGCAGACTATAAAATGTGTAGTGGTAGGGGACGGTGCTGTAGGAAAGACCTGCCTACTGATCTCCTACACAACCAACAAGTTCCCCTCAGAATATGTGCCAACGGTAAGAAAACTTCATATTTCAAAGTCCCTCGTCCTTAAAGGAGGACTGTGCATCATTTTACACATAAATACAGCAGAAATCGAGTATTTCCTCTGTAAATGTCTCTCTGAGTCATGACTGTCAACAATGAGCGAGAAGTGTGAGTCCCGCTGGCTGTACTGTGTCGGAGCCATGTTTACATCATGTTAACATCACAGGCTGTTTTAGTCAAGGACTAGAGAAAAGAAGAACAGCATACTCACTTCTTACTTGGATGTCACATATTGTGTCTTTAGATCACGGTCATTCTGTGTCAATTTATGTTCACAGTGAAGCTATGAGCTAACCAAAATTGTGCTAACATTAGCCTGCGAACACAACAATGCAGACCACAGGCAATTGCATTCTTCCTTTAACATATTGACCACCTTAACTTCTTATTTCCTCAATGCTCAAGAACAATACAATTAAAACATGCTTCCGTTTCATCGTCTAATCGTATCCCCCTGTTTTTGTGTATGTGCTCAAAGGTTTTTGACAATTATGCGGTGACAGTGATGATTGGAGGAGAGCCCTACACACTCGGACTATTTGACACAGCAGGTGACCTAAATGTTCTTTGAAAGACTGTTACTTGAAAACTAATTCATTTAACTCTGAATCACAAATTTCTCATTTCACTTGGTAATGTCATTCTCAGGTCAGGAGGATTATGACAGGCTGCGTCCTCTCAGCTATCCACAGACTGATGTGTTCCTTGTATGTTTCTCTGTCGTCTCCCCCTCATCGTTTGAAAACGTCAAAGAGAAGGTCAGTCTTCGAATCATTCTTTCACTAATTGGGTGAAAACATGAGATTGGCTTTTGTTGTGAAATACATTTCAAGAGCCATTTTGCAGAATCGGTTGGACAGACATTTAGAGTTCCAGTTCTTTTAATAACATTCATCAGTACAATATTTTCTCATTGATAAAGTTTTCTCCTTGCAATTACTAAAGATACTAAACTGTGGCTTCACCAAAAGTAAGAAAAACATGACATTTGAAAAGCTTGAACAAGGAAAAGTTTGGCATTTTAGCAACAAAACTTATTTGATTATTAATATTTGAATATTATAACTGCATATACTTAGACTCAACTGTTGACTAAACTTTACCTAAAGACCTGACCAGGGCTGAGGCTTGTTGTATTTGTTTGTTTCATACTAGAACTCAAAGGATACTTTAAACGATCACTTCTGAAATTGAGAAATATAATTTTTATTTTCTTTACTTAATGTTTAAGTTCTCAACAGTAAACCTTGTCTAAACACAGATCACTATATAAATCAATGCAGTCATCTTAAATTATCTTCATTTTGTCTGAATTAGGAAGTGTCTGATAAAAGGTGACGTTTATGAGCAATGACTCTGACTTTTATTGCCTACTACCAGACAGTTTAAAACACACTTGTTTAGTATCAAAGATATGTTGAGTTACTTGTGACCATATATGACAGAGGAGCTGAGAAGATCTGAATTTTTCTTTTTTCTTCTTACCTTTCAGTGGGTTCCTGAGATAACTCACCACTGCCCACGTGTACCTTTCCTCTTAGTGGGCACACAGGTGGATCTGAGGGACGACCCCAACACAACTGACAAGCTGGCAAAGAACAAACAGCGCCCTATTGGGCCTGACATCGGAGAAAAGCTAGGCCGTGACCTTAAGGCTGTCAAATACGTGGAGTGCTCTGCTCTGACACAGGTGTGTTAACTTTTCATCATACTGTTAAGTTGAAAACAAAATCATACAGTTTTACAAAAATACACAATTCTAGTTTTGACCTCTGTCTTGTTTCCTGTTCTCTTCAACCAGCGAGGGCTTAAGAATGTGTTTGATGAGGCAATCCTGGCCGCCTTGGAGCCTCCCGAGTGCAAAAAGAAGAGCAAGTGTGTGCTACTATAGATGATCAACAGAAGAGTGACATGAAACAGTGTAAGAAATAAGGCTGGGCGAATCAAAACGTCAGAAAGATCAATGGCCATTATGGGGAAAAGGACAAAACAAGAGGGGATGGGAGGTACAATGGCTATGAGACTTATTCTCGTACACTCGTACACTGATTGTGCCTTCAAAATAAACTTAAAAAGAGGCTGAGGGAGGAAAACTGGAGGGTGCAGTAAATGCAGCAGGTGTCACCTGTCCCCCAGTCTGAAAGCTTTCTAAATTGCAGTGTTTGCTCTACAAATACTCCAGGGGCGGGCCCCCCTCTGCCTGTCGCTTGATTTTTTTTTTTTTTCTTTTTAAGAAAGAGTTTTATTTAGTTGCCTTTGGCTTCTTTTGCGTTTCACTTATTCTTACCTCTTGGGCCTGTGTGGGAATTTAAGAACGGGCAACACTTTAACATTAACGTTAAGTGCTAACTTCCCTCATGAGCTGAATAATGAAAGCACGAGAGATTTATTGTCACTCCAAAAATAAAGGTAGATGTCTGTAATGGTTACTTTCTCCCAATTCCTGAGGAGGCCAAGTGCTTTTTTTTTGCCAAATTCCCTTCTTCAGTTGACTCCTAAATATACATTTTATTCTTCTTTTGTGAATATTATAATAATTCTTTGACTCTGTTTTGGGAAACTGTAAGCAATTCTTCATTTGAAACTTGAGTTGTTATGTCATCGAGATAGATTTTTTTTTTTTATAGCTAGACTACCATATTTGGATAATATAACAAATGGAGTTGTAATATTTTGAATATGTCTGAATATGAATAGAGATTGAGGTGATAAACTTTGCTAGTTAATTTCTGGGTGTTTGTAATCACAGGATATTTTTAATAAAATGGTTTAATGACATGGGCAGTTGTAGTTTTTGCATTGTCATGCAGAGATTTTCTACAGCTGTTTTTAGATTCTGTTTCTCACAAAAACACACAAGTTCAGGCCTCGATAATCGAGTGCTCTTGAGTTCAGTAGCATGTGCTAATACAAGCCCATGTACATTTTGAAGCCTCATTTGTTCGGGACAAGAATGGCCAACTGTCTGCCACCATGTTGGAGGTTGTCTGTGATCTTATCCGTGAGATATTTGTCATATGCAAAGTAAATATCCCTACGCAAATAAACTGCTATATTTCTACAAACACACAGGTGAGGTCATATGAGAGGTAACAGTTTTGTGATCTAAGATTTATTTTTGCAAAAAATAAATTATCTGCACCTCTTTCATGCATCTTTCCTGTTCTAAATTTAAAGAGGCTCACCATGGCAACCCATCTGCACAAACAGCAAGATCCATAGGAAGAGGGACGTTTTGAGATGTAATGAAATAGATGGTGGCATACGTTAAGTGCTACCTTGCGTCATCAACAGATGTGACTGGAGACTTTTTGTGTTTTCTGTCCATCCCATTTTTGTGAACACCATTTTATCCGAAAATCGTGCAAAAATATCCTATTGGACTGAGGGACAGTTGATTGCATTATGGAGGTCAGAGGTCAAGGTTTCTTTGACTTTGCGTCAGCCCCATTCTCGTGAATTTAAAGTTTCAACATCACCTGAAGGGACTTTTTACTACATCTTCCACATATAGCCACTTGGATCAAAGCATCAGTCTTCTGTGATCTCCCAAAAAAAAAATCATTGTTGCTATAACTTGATTCACAGGCCTACTCTCAATAAGACACCATGTCACATAAAGGTTAATTTGGGTAAAATGTTGTAGTAATGAAAGTTCATTACCAAGAGTTTTTTTTGTCCTGACTAGGGAACAACAGCATGTTCTATCTCTAAGTGGGATATCTAACCTTCCTCTACTGACAAGAGAGATGTTTTTTGGTATTATGTTCCTTCTGGCACTGACTGTGGTGCATAAAGGGTCAAAATAAAATTAATAAATGTTGTGCTTTGTCATGTTACAACTCAAACTTAGTAACTGTGTTCCCTAACAGTGATTTAAAAAGTGTAGATATAATAAAATCTCTCAAAAGTAAATGTTCACTTATGCACAGCATGGCTTGTCGACCTTTAAATACCCTGCTCCATGCGGCCTCTAGTGGTGAAAAACTCCACAGGGGTCCTTTAACCATTATCTTAGACATTTTTGGTCAATGAGAAACTCATTAAAACACATTTTGGATAAAACTACCGTATTTATTAGATTTCTTGAAAAAGAAATAAAAACACCTCTTGAGCAGTAACAGACAGAAGACTCTCATAAAGAAGAGTGACAAAACACAAGACACTGACGTAAGTAAAAGTTATTTTTGCTATTTAAGAAGTTGCTGGATGCTGAAGTAAGGCAGAAACTCAGATGTTTAAATAAATAAACCAGAATCGAGAAGCAAACATAAATACAGAACATGTTCAATGACCAGCTAGTCTATGACACAACAGGAATAGTTTGCATAAAATAGATAGTGCTGTAATATGTCCCTGTTAGTTTTGGTTAAGTTCAGCCTTAGAGGCTTTGTCAGTTCAATTTGAGATTAACTGTTGACTGTCATTGTGTATATTTGTGTTCATGCTTGCCTGTCCATTTATGTTTTTGCTTTACTTCTGAAGCTTTTTCATTGCCCTTTTTTTTACTAACTTAATAGCTTTTCCAACAGATCCATCAAACCAGAGCCTTGGAGCTTCAGTAAAAAATGTAAGACTGCATTTGGACCAGAATTTAATGTGAAGTGAGCAAATGTTTTAAGTTCAAAACTGTTGTCCTGTCTGGTGTTTACAAGTGTCAGTCTAGTAGTTTATTCAGGTCTTTCTTCTGGTCGGGGCATTCATGGTTCCTCCTACACTCTGCATGTGTGAATGGTGACTGTGTTCTTGCACTGCTGGCAGCGGACTGAACAGCACCAGGAAAACTTGCAGGAGCATCGCTGTACCACCTCAGCCCGGCCTGCTCTGTACCCGGGCCCGCAGCACACCAGCTCACAGCCGTCTGGTGCTAGCCGAGAGGTTCCTGGTTGTTTTTTGGAAGAGAGAGAGACATAATTTTTCTGCAACTGTTCTTATTGATACGTTGGATCACTCTTGTGAGTCTGTCTTGCTTGTTGATCTTACCATTACATCTTCTTCCAGCAGTTCCAGGGATACCATTGTCAGGGTCGAGATGGCAGAAGTCTGGGGAGGGTGCAAGGTACAAAAGGTCTCTTGCAGCAGGGGGTTTGACCTGGGGGTCACGGGGAAGCAGGGCTGTCCTGGATCCGATACGAGTCAGGCGAACCTAAGAGGAAGACAATGTCAAGAGAGCTAGACAGACCTGAGACTTTTAGAGGTTTTAGATAAGGCTGCCATGTATTGTGATACCTCTGTGGCTCCATCAAAGCGTTCCTTGAGCACAACGCCGACACGCCTGAATGGAGGCATCACTTTCCAGCAGGTCCTTAGCTCACAGGAGCCAGAGACGCCATGACACTTACACTCCACCTGCATGTTGTGAAGGATGGCCTGAGGACGGGAGGAGAGAAATGAACTGTCACTTAATCTTGCAGATGACAAAATACCTGAGGTAGGTCTTCAATCTTGGAATGCCACCACCCACCTTTCGTCCAGCCTCATTGTTGTGGAGGTTCATGAGTGGTCGCCCTGCTGAAAGCCCCTTGGCCCGCTCTGGTTCATCCACAAATGTTTGAGAGAAAGCCACACCGTAGGACAAGTTGTCACTGCACCCTGACCACTGGAAACCTGAGGTTGACAGAGAAACAATGCGATAGATTATTGTACCTTTGACACAGTTTAATATTTTAGAATAGGGCTGAAAAAAATTGCTGTTAAACCGTTTCGAAAATCCGTATTCGAAACAGGCTGTGAACATGTATTTTTTGCTGCAAAAGTTTATATCTTTAGCATGGGACCCAATGGGTATTCCTTGGCTTTTGCAGTCAGCCTCATGGGGACAATTGAGGAACTACAATTTTATTGCAACACCCATTGGCTTAATTTTACAACACTGTAAGTTGCCACTTGGATAAAACCTGCTGTGAGATCACTGCAATTTTTTTTCATGCAATATAATCAGAGCTCACCCTCAGGGCTGACCCCCCTGACCTTCCTGTCACAGCCACACCTCTCCAGCTCCCCACGGGTGCAGGCTCGGGTCACAGCCACCGCCACGGCTGCTGAAGACAAAGCATGCACGAAGGCCGCCTCACGAGTACCTGAAACCAGAAAAGGTGACATTATAAATTATATAAAAGCCTCGGGATGTGTGGATTTTTCCCCAATTTTCAGGAAGATATTCCCTATGATTTGTGAGGATACCTTGGTTCATGACTCTGCCGAATACGTTGATCCCACGTGGGGTGGTGGAACAATTCCAGCGGCGGTTCCTGAACTGGTGTTGGCACTAAGTTTGATGGTGACATGCATAACACTAAGTATTCAAAATGATTCACCTACAACACACTACTGATATTGCATAATGAAATAAGTAGCTCTAAAACTTTTTGCCTTCCGACCATACCTCTTCTATGACCATCTCTGCTGCCTTTCGTACGGACTCCATGACCTCCCCTCGCGCCCTGCACACACCCACCTGCCCCGGGGTTAGGCCCCGTAGGCGTGCACATGGAGAAGCACCTGACACGGGCCTCGAGCGAGGCAGCCTCGCCAGGGAGCTGGGACACAAAAGGTCGGGAGAGTAATAGTAAGTCTGGGCAACTTTTGGAAAGGGAAGTTATTGTGGAAAGGGGGTAAAAGAGTCTATTCAAGAAAAGAAAAGGAGTAAAAGAGGAAGAGCACATGAAGAAGAGAAAAGAGGGTAAGAAAAAGGATGGAGAGGTAATGACCAGGCAGCGTTCTAGAGAGGATGGAAACAAGGGGAAGACCGGGGTAAGAAGACACATTGAAGGCAGATAGAAAGAAAAGAGAAAAGGTCACCAGGAGTGAGACAAAGAAAGAGAGGGGAGCGACTGAAAGAGATTTAGAGACATGTCACCATCTTTTAAAAGTTATAGCATGACAAACAAACTCCCTCTTTCTCTTCCTCCCCTTGCACGCTAGACTTACAGCCAGTTGGTTGCCATGGTGGGGTGGGTTGCCCATAGCAACAGGAGGAGGAGTGGTGCCGTGAGATTGACAGTGAAGACAGTTGGCATCAGACTGTCTGTCTGTCTGTCCGTCTCCGTGCGTCAGGCTGGCCCGCCTCCACAGTTGAAGTGCTCCGTCTGTTTGTTTGTTTGTTGTTGTTGTGTTCGTTTATGCTTGTGGAGCAGAGTCTGGGGATGATCCCCGCATGTCTGTCAAAAGGTCAAGTTAACAGGTCAGACACAAAAACACTACAGGAGAAGGGGGTCACCCTTATCATAGACCTTTTGATTTTAAATCCAATTCATTAACACACTAAAAACATACATTTAATGACAAAGACTTTCTATATGATCACACTGCTTCAGCTTTGTAAGATGTAAATATGAGGCAACAAAACATTTGTCAAGAGTGTTGAAAAAGTGTTTCCAAAAAGAGCGCACATTCTTACCAGTTCATAGTCCTGTGATATCCAGTTTTTCCTCTTTCTTGATGATAACTTGATCAAATTGAAGTTTAATCCCAATTTCAACCGTTGAAGTTGTTGATCAGCTTCTTCAATTGTGCTGTCACTGATTGTAAAAGCATGCTCGCAGTAATTTCTTTTACAAACTGCAAGAAAATCTCATCCTTTACAAACAATAATTAATCCACATGTCCAATTTATCTGAACCTATAGTTAGAGACTTCCTCCAAAAAGCAAGTCCAGAAGTGCATATAAAATTCAACTTTACAAAAAAGCAGCATAACGTTTCGTCAGCAAGTGCTCAGTTTGGTTCCCATTAAAACAAATGTCCATTCCAGTTGGAAACAGTGAGAATGAGTGAGAGCAGTGAGATGGGAGTGATGGGTTATAAAGGAGGTAGAGAATGAGAGTGGGAGAGAGAGAGAGAGAGAGGAGAAGCGTGATGCAGAGGGAAGGAGGAGGAGGCTTTGGGAATGAGAATAGTTGTATTACCCCTGTATTTGTAGTGTAAGTATACTTTCTGATGTTTGTTCAACATTAGACCTCAAATCTGAACCTAAACCTGAGATAATGTACTTACCACTTTTTTTTTTTTACAGTGGGTTTTGATTGTGTAAGTGTGCATTTGCAGTTGAGAAATACTTAATGACAATACAAACTAAAGCTTTTTGTTTCCTCTATATATAATATTGATCAATTTAATCATCCAATCGAAAACTGTGACACAGCATTTCTGTTTCCAAGAATATGTACATACATTCATGTGAAAAAGTGTCTTACCTAATGTTTAATTTTCCCAAACTTTGTTGCTCATTTTACGAGTCCCCCCCACCCCACCCCCACCCTTCCTCCATCTCCCCCACATTTGCCCTCTCGTTCTCCCTCTCTCCCACTCCCTATATTGTCTTAGAAGAAGGGGTGACATTTAGACAAGGGGAAGAAAACACAGTGCCGACAAATATTGGAACTGAGGCAAATAAATCACCAGTTAGGAGGGAAAAGAGGGCATGAGGAGAAGGCGGATGGGTGTTAAACTGAGGTTAGGAGAAAGCAGTAAAGAAATCATTTGTGACGTGATAAAAAAAGGTGAATAAAATGTTCTGTAGATATTTGATTGTGGAGAAGAGCATCTTAGATACTCTCAATGTCTGTTGATGCATGAACAAATAGCACAAAATATAAGCTATATGGCATGATTGATCCTCAATTAGGCCTAGTTATTTAAAGAGCAGGCTCTTTTACCTGCTTTTCGTAAAGTAAAATTTGTCATGAATTGGCGCTATACTAATACAGATTGAATGATTTATTATTCAACTTAATTGCCATTTTCTACATATTTTGTAGTGTACCCCTTTTGTCCCTTTCCTGTCACACTTCTTAGAATATCAACCTCTATAACTTCATTAGACTTTACAAAAGAATTAGATAAAAGCAGTGTCGTTGCTTTAATTCACTTTCACTTCACTTTATTTCACAGTATTTTTGTTACTGTTTCTAGCATTATTTCACTTTTATTCTCCAAGGGAAATTAAACTACAATAAACAGATGCGCAGAAAGTAATTTACATTTTCAGTTTTATTTTGACTCTGTATTTTAAAGAGTTATTTTTATTGTGGCATATAGCCTTTACCTTTGATCGATTGATTTGTTGAACTGGCCATTTACGGCTGATTATGCACAAGTTCAAAAACAAAAACATAGGCCAAGGTAATTGTCACAGTCTTTGTGTAAATCAATGAGAAAACAGTGAATAAATGTTTCAGCATATGATTTAAATTAACCTTTATCTCACCAAATAATTTAATTTCAGCTTCTAGCTAGATGGCTGTTTTCCTTGTCTGCTAATTCTGGCTAGTTTGATTAAAGCAAGTAATATACTGTCTTATTAGTTCGAAACATACACGATTCAGTAACTAAATGTTTGTTTTGAGTTCAATTTTGCAATTACATGAGACAGGTTGGTTAAAACTGGGTAAATTAGCTTAAGTTTTATAGCTAGCGGTGCTAATGTTAGCAAACATTTGACCTTTTAGGTCCATTTTGTATGGCATAATCATTTCTAATATTATAGCCTACTTATAGCTTACTCTTGACATTGCTCAAATTTGACAGATTTGTTGCTTTGCCTTACTTATTAAGTTTCATGTTGATATATTTGTTTTTTTTAATTTGTATTTAATTCCTATCCATATTTTTGTTAGTTTTATAGCAGTCAAACCTTGAGTTTCTTTTGAGGCCGGTGATTTGTAATCGCTGAAGTTGCCTACAGACTTTTTTGCCTCGCACCTTTTGAAACTTATTTATTGCTCCTAGGCCTCATTTGTTGTATCAGATGAGTCAGGATTTGGATCAAGACTCATGTTACACTCCCTGTCTGGGATATGGTGGCCCATTTACCTGAACCCTCTGACACCAGGTTCATGAGTAAATGGTCACCCCCATCCACACAGCCTTTCTCTCTACTCTCTGTCTCTATCCCACACAAACACAAATATTTCTCTTCCATATCTGCAAAGACAGGTTTCTTGAAGGCCCCTTTCCCTTCTTTTTTGTCCTTCTCATGTTGTATTCCTCCTTTGTGTCCCCTGTTTCTCCAAGTGACGTCTTCTTCTGTCTCCCACAGCAACGCCATGGTGATGAGCTGGCCACTGTCATGTCCGGCGCCTCTGTTGTGCTCATCCCTTCACCCCTCTCTCGTAAATAACTTTCCCTCCTTTTTTTTATCTTTATCTTTCCCCTATTTTGTGGACATTTTATCATGCTGAAACAGTCCAGTATTGATTGACTGTAGCTGGGTCGCAGAGCCAAAAGAGAAGCTTGTTAAAGCTTCAGCATGACATAAACGTTGAGATGACTCGCATTCCCTGTTATATTGAGAGGCAGCAGCAGACTTTTAGAAACTCTGCTGTAGGTGAGGGAATTATTTAAACTGATTTTACTTAGTCCAATGGTGCTTGCAAAAGGATAGATAACTTGCCTTATTCAGAGACGATGCCGCAGGAAGACTCTGGACTTGGGGGACATATTTCCATCAAGGTCATTAAAGACAGAGATGTGACCCCTCACCTTTTGCTCTCTTTGCATTATTTTCACACTCGGTGGCTACCTGCTTTAACAACCTGGGTGTGGCTTGATTAAAGTCATAGCATGCAGACAAGAACGCTGTGCATGTGCACGCCTGTGGTGCACGCTCACATTGCTGAGGGATCTCTGCCAACAAAAAGCTGAATGCACTGCTGTGTATGAATGTGTGTGGAGCATGTGCATGAATATTATGGGATGGCAAGCAGTGGTGTTGTCAGGCAGGGAAGGGGGGCTGGCAGAGTGGGCGGTGAGCTTCGTGCACATAGGGGGAGGGGGCAGAGGGAATGGACGATCCATGAATATTATGGAATGATGGTGGTGGTGGTAGTGGGGGGGGGGTGTGCAGTGCGTGTGAAGTGGAAAGATAACTGTACATATGGGTTGGCGGGAGTAGGAGGAGGTGTTGGTGACGGAGTTGTGCGTGTGCGTGAGCGTGAGCATACATGCATGTCTAAGAGCCATTCAAGCGATAGGAACAGACAACGGGCAGACATAGGCCTTTGTTGCTATGTGATCTGCATGCACTGCAGAGTGGGGAATATCGCAGAGTGGCCATACATGTAGAGGAAGTAATGGAAGGCCTCTGAGCTTGAATAACAGTTCCTCCTTTCTTCTTTTACCATACCAGCTGAACCCAATATACTGTACAGGAAATGCCATCACTGATACAATTGTGCAGGAGAAGACCAACCTTATGTTTGAAATACTGTTTCCACTTTTCACAGTGCATACATGCATTTAGGGCCTTCAGGGAGTGACTCAGCACACTCATTTGCATTAATAAGTTTGTATTCAGAACAAATACAGTGTGGCTTCAAAGTTACTTTCAATCACCTATTTGGACATGTTGCTTGTTTGAAGGTGTTTCAAATTCGAACAGAATTAACCCTAGTGAACCATGGCATTTTAGCAACCAATTGTATTATTTTATTTATATATATATATATATATATATATATATATATATATTATATTTATATTATTTATATTATTACTCAGCAGGCATAAGTACACCTGGAGCAGCTAGAACTCTGATAGATCTTGTAGTCAATTCGAAACATTTTTTTCACAGTATAATTGCCAGTTGCAGTGGTGTCTTTGTGCTAATATCCTTGATTTTTTGGAAAATTCTTAGAAAATCAGCCTTTTAGTCATGTTTATTTTCATGGTTTTCTGATGTGCAGTAGCTCATTGTTTTATTTATGCATTGTAAAGATAACTCGAAAGCAACATGTTGTGTGTTTTAATGAATCAATATCCAGCAGTATCCTACATCAGACCAAGATTTTACACTCAGTACAATACTCTACAACCACTCTTGCATCTTTGCACACCTGTTGGCCTTTGTTAGAGTTGAAGGACAAGACTAAACCATACACAGAACCCAATTGTGTTGGTCAATAAAACAAAGAAGACTGAGTTGAGTGTTGTGGCAGTTTCTATCAGTGATGACAACACAGTGACTGGAGGCCTCGGCCGGCTTCTGTGATGCTGAGCAACATTGTTGGCATTGTCATCGCAGCCTATTCTGACACACATCAAGTTCTGTGAATCCATGAGTGGTATCTACACCCAGTGCTGTGGGCACAGTCCACCTGTGCGAGGAGAACAAAATGGAAGGCTCTTTGACTTCTTGGCATACTCATGCTCATTGC